TTGCCGCTTCCGGTGGGGGCTCCAACAAATACATTATCATCAGTATCAAAAAGGGATTTAAATGTTTGTGTCTGAATCTTGTTGAAGCGATCCCAGTCTGGGTACAATGATTTGAATTCATCGACTTTTAAGGCTGCAACAGGCAAAGGCTGCAAATCCAACAATGGTGTATGAGGTGGAAATTTCTCTGGCAAGATGAGTTTCTGGAACGAGACTGCAAGCTTGGTTTCACAATTCATCCATCGGTCCGAGACAACAGTGATGAAATAATGTGGTGGCATGGGCTCTGTGATGGGGACTGTGAATTCAATAAGATGCTCGTTCATTTCAGCTTGAGCAAAATCTTTACGAAGAATAAATTGATCGTGGAAAAGAATATCCTCGCCGTCACAGTCTTCAGCAATGATCCAGAAACTTTCCGCAGCACCATGAATTTCGTCATCCCACTCAAACTTGGGTGTGATGGTCAACTCTACTCTCAGCATTGATCTCGTCATCGGTTGCACTTGTGCCTGAACTTCTAGTCGTGGAAATTTTGCAACAAGATTGCAAACAGTTCGGCCTGCTTTCGGAAGACCTAATAATTCGCCCATGCGTGGCGGATCAAGATCAAAGTAGTTGGCCCATGAAACGTCAATTCTCTCAGCTTTTTGTATGATGTCTCTAGGACATCCGGCAAATTGTCTGAGTGGTGACATTGTTGGCCACATGCGCTTTTCTGCCATTTTGCAAAGCTCCAAAGCTGTCCTAGCTACCGAGGACCACCCCTTCTTAAGAGTGATTTCGAAAATAGCACGCAGAATTCTTCCAGCTGACTGGGTGACGTATACCAAGTCTGCCATCAATGCTAGTCCATCCAATTTTAATCTCGAAACGTAAGCCTGCAAGAGTACATTTATCTTGGCATGAGGCTCCTCGACACTTTCTTTTACGGGAATTGGTACACGCCCTAGAAGTTTGGCTAGTTCCAACTTTTCTTCTTGGCGAACTGGGATGTACTTGAATTCGTCACTCAACGCAAAGACGCGGAAAAGTTCTATTGGCGTGATCGATGGTTGGAGATGGTGGTTGTAAGTCAACATGGAGTTGTGTGTAATATAATAATGAGATGCAATTCTACCAAGTTCAGTCGCTTGTAGTTTACCCGTCTTCTTGTCGTATTTTATAAGGTTAGATTTCTCCAGCACTATAGCCGCAGAATGGATCAAATCAACTCGCTTTTGCTCCAGGGCGCTATCATCTTCATAGTCGGCTCCTACGCTGTACAATCCTGGTGACCGCAGCATTCGCACGAATAGATAAGTGTATCCTAACCAGTCAACACCTTCATCGCGACTACGGACATTACCAAGAACAACCTCTGCGTTTAGATTGTCTACCAATCTACTCACAAACTGACTCTCGATCGGCAATTGTTGATTCAAAAGTGATAGATAATACTGCATCTCGTTCTGGGTAGTTATAATGATGCCCTCCCCATATGTGTCATATTGGGGACGGCCAGCACGCCCAAGCATTTGAAGTACATCTTGCGGACTCAATTCTACCCAACTTCCTTTCTCCGGGGAGTAGACTTGAGTACCTTTGATGATGACAGTATGTGCTGGTAAATTGACACCCCATGCCAATGTAGCAGTACAGACAAGTACTTGAATTAAACCTTCATGGAAAAGTTCCTCAACAGATGTTCGATCTGGCCTATTCATACCAGCGTGATGTATTCCGAAGCCGTAAGGTAACAAGTCCTTGAGCTCTCGGTCGCTGACCTCTTCGGCCTCAGAAGCGAGAGTCTCTCGAGTTCCCGACACATCACTCCGCAAAATCTGTCCAATCGTCTCCATTTCCAAGGCTTTGTCTCGAATATATCTAGCTGTTTTGGCAGTCTCCTTACGTGAGTGCACAAAAATAATCATCTGGTTTCGATTTGTCCCTACATGCTCTAAAACCTTGGTATAAGTCACGTCATTCATAGTCTTCAGTTGTTTGATGGCCTTCTTTTCGGTTATTCCAACAAATTCCTGGCGAAGTGGACAAGGGCGGTACGATCCATCAAAATGGAACATGCCTTTGAGAGGATCAACGCGTAGAAAGCTTGCGACGTCACGGTAATTTGGCAATGTGGCGGAAAGACCTATCAGACGAACAGGATCACCAGTCTGCTCCATCTTTCTGATTGTTCGGCTCACAATACTCTCCAGAACAGGTCCACGATCATCATGCAAAAGATGGATTTCATCAATAATAATGAGACGGACCAGATTGGTGTAACTCAAATCAGTAGCTTTTCGAGTGATGACATCCCATTTTTCAGGTGTTGTCACAATGATTTGGGTATCGGCAATTTGTTGCTTCGTGAGCTGACGATCTCCAGTCAATTCAGAGACTTGAATGCCATATGGCTTTAGTCTGGCACCGAAATTTCCTACTTGTTCTTGAACCAAAGCTTTGAGCGGCGCAATGTAAACAATTTTGAATGCGTCGAGGTTGATTTCTCCGGTCTCTGGATTGCGATTTTTGCCGATTTCTCGTAATATAGTCAACATACCAACATTGGTCTTGCCACTTCCAGTGGGCGCGCAGATAAGCATATTACCATCATCCTCGAAAGCTGTCGGAAAGCACTGAGATTGGATCTTGTTTAGCTTGACTGTAGACGAGAATGGAACACGCGCCCATTCAGGCATCTCCGTCACTGGAATATCACGATCAGAAGGATCGTTGCGCTTCTTGGGAGGCGGTACATGAATCTCTTCATATCCTTTGAAAGTTCGCTTTGTAGATCCCTCTGGCAACTTGACCTTGGGATTTGTCATCAAATGATTGCCTTGATCAAAGACAAGATTTTCAAGATTAATGAGCTTTCGCGGTTGCAGTCCACCAACTAAACCATCTCTTTCTTTTTGCTCGCTCTTGGTGCCCCCATTTATGTATTCGGCTGGAACGTCAATATCCATTTTCATTTCTAGTTTTCGTTTCTTCGATCCGTCTGCTGGCGCACCTCCGCGAAGCTCATCCAAGATCCATCGTAGTCCCTCGGATGCAATTTCACGTTCTACAACACCTCGAGCTTCGGCATCCTCGGCCCTAGCTAAACGAGTGAGCCATACTACCTTATCTCGATTGGCGATCAGTTTGTGTACGAGCTCATGATGCTCATAATCAAACAATTCAGCAAGGTCATTTTCGATTTCCCTGAGAGGTTTCTCATCCCCGCCTTCTTCCGCGGGAGCTCCAGAAAGTGTGTGGAGTACTTCCTGTGTTTTAAGCTGTTGTACATGCGCATCTGTGTAGACTGAGCCAATTTGTCGTTGCAGCCAGTATGCATCAATTTCGCGTGCGGGTATGAAGTCTTTCTTGTCTTTGGATGAGTCAGCGTTCTGTGTTGAACCAGAGTCCATAATTATTGCTTCCTCTTCGGGAAGTTCTTGGGATTCTTCATCTCTGTCCAATCCAGCGCCACCAGCCTTAGCGACTTCCTCGTCACCAGGGCGGTCTTGAGCGTCATCCTCATCTTCAGACGACTCTTCTCGAATTTCATTAAGCACCTCATCACCTTCCTCGTCGGAATTGTCGTCGAATACAACAGCTACTCCTTGGCGATCATCTATTTCAGCGCCGTTTTCGCCGCCGTTGTCTCCATCTGCCATCTCTTCGTCTTCATCCTGCGCGTCATAATCCGTAATCTTTTTCCCCAAGTTTACAAGCTCGTTGAACTGCTTTGGATTCATACTTGCGCCTAGCAGGTCGTCGATCTCCTTCTTCTTGTCAAAATCCTTCATATCATCGTCCTTCAAGTATTCCAGCACGGCGTCGGTGGCGCTTCGAACAACTTCGTGAGGAACATCTCCGAGATTGCTAGCGACTGTGGTTAAGATGAGGTCGTAAGTTGCTCGCGTTGCCGAAGTCCTAGGTCTATATCGAATACCCTCGACCAAGGCATCTGCAGCTGATAGGATTCCAGTCCCTCGCAGTTGTGCTGGCTCTCCACGCTTGCGTTTGCGCTGTTCTCGCTCTAAGACATCTTCGCCCTCGCGGTATCCTCCTCTCTCAACATCTGGAAGGCCCGAAGCTTTCTTTTTCTGTTTCGGCGCGTCCTCGCGGGCATTTCTCGACCCCATATCCCGAATACTAATTTGCCCCGCCAGTGATTCTGGATCTCCTGTTACCTCATCGTTACGGCGAGTGACGAATCGACGGTCCGCCTGGAGAACCAGATTGGACATGGCCGCATACTTGTACTGCGACACATCGCGCTGTTGGTCCGTCATTGTTTATGAGTCGTCAATTTTACGGTGTGAGAAAGGCTGAAGCCTATATGGCGGATATTGAGAAGAAATCGAAAGAAGATGGCTGGAAGGAAGGTTTCAAGTCATCTGAAGTAGTTCCTCTAAAACATGGATTATTAAAGTTATCTCCAATATACTGATGAATCAAAGAAGGTATGCAAAGAAATTTAACAGACGCCACAATAGAGGGTATTTTGATATCAGTTTACTAGAAGAGGTCTTTCAGTTCCCAAAATTCGCAAAATTAAGGTTTAACGCGAGGCCACTAAATTTACTTTTGATAGGCGCTAGTGTGTCTGCCACCTCGTGCCTACCTGGCCATGGGTAGGTATCTTTTAGTCGAGAAGATTAACACACTTCCCAAAATATAGGTCCCATTTACAAATTCTCAATTGATTTAAAATAAAATAAAATTGGGTAATATCTTGAGAGTGTACAAACAGAAACGAATTGCTATGTGAGATATCTTGTTGATAAGTTGACAGTTGTTGAGACGATTATGTATTAAATTAAATTGTTGTTGGTTCGATTTCATATGCCACGAACCAAGCGGAGCCGTATGCCGCTACACGTCAACAAGATCATTCAATAATAAGGTAAAGTAAATATAACTTTGCCTGGAGCAACGCACCCTATACATTCTCACACCAGCACACCGGGACATCAGGAGCCAGGTATTCCGAAATCTATATCAACATTTATGTTTTGACCAAAATGGATGATTTGGCAACGCTTCCCGAGGGTATCAGACAAATACATCATACCTTGAGCCCTTATATAAAGCAAAGACAGGATGCTCTACATGTTCGGCATGTCCTCGCTGCTCACTTAAATTCCAATGTGAACTCTGGAGATAGCTTCTTGACGCCTGCAACTTTGTCTCTTGCAGAACCTACCTCTGAAGTGACACAAGGATTAGGCTTTCCGGGCGTCCAGCATGATTATCTACGCAGCCTCCAAGCTAATCTGAAGGCTCAAAGAGACTTTGCAGCGATCACTTCACAGCGTGATGAACCAGAATCTCACAGCGAGATTCAAGCAAAGACTCATGATAAAATTGCATCCAAGGAGATATCTGTACATGCTTTCTTAGATTTAGAAAAGCAACGTCAGAGGAAGGAACGTTTTCGCATCATTCAAGATGTCGTGGACCAACTTGCACAGAAGCCTGCAGCGACACAAAATTATCTCGACTTGAAGAGCGTGGACGTGCTGAAGGATATTGGTTCCTTACCGTCAGTACCACCGAGTGTTATGGCACCGATAGAACATCTTCAAGATTCTGAGAGAACTGATCTGAAATCGCTCGTCGATCGATTGGAGAAGTCAGTTTTACGTGCACAACTTCTTCTCAAAAAAGAACAAAAATTATTGGCAAAAGTCAGAACAGATGCTAGCACACCAAAAGATCAGCAAGAACAGGGCAATCGACAGAAAGCACTGGAAACAACTCGTAATGAATTGATCAACTGGATTGAGACGGAATTAGGAAAGGCTGGAGATTCGCCAGCAGCATCAGAGGGACAAAATTCAAGCGTGCCTGAGAATGTCGGGAAGGAATACATCGAATCTCAGCTTGCATCTATAAAGCAACTTTATGGACAATACCTTGAAATTAGAAAAAGATTGATTGTCGCTGCTACTGAAAATCTTACTACATCACTTCCTACAGAAGTCGGAACAGATGATTCCTCTGATAGGCTCCTAGATGAGCCTACGAATGATACCTCTAGTACCAAAAACGCGTCGGCATTTTCTTACCTAGAAGATCTAGTTCTCATTTCAAATGAGCAGAAATCTACTATACAGCAAAGATCTTATCTCACTAGCAGTCTCGCAAAACAAGGCAAAGAAGCGAGTAAAGATCTAGACAGGCTAGTCGACGAAAGTCATCTCTTACCTACCTATCCAGCCCAGACTGTCAACAATCCTCAACGGAAAAGACTAGGGGAGCCTATTTCGTTTGAACAGGAAATTTCGAATAGTGATAAGCCAACCTTATCCAGCCGAGCCAAAGCTTGGGTCTTTGCAGCTGAATCGAGTAGCATTGCGACTAAGGAAGCAGTTTTGGAAAGATTGGAAGATGGGGAATCTGCTCTTGCAGGAGCTTATCAGACTCTCAACGATCTTCAGCGTCTTTTGGGGTGTCTCCCCGAGGAACAGGGCGCAGAAGGAGATGCAGGCAGACAAAAGTTGGGAATCTCGAATATCGGCGGAGTTTGGTCTACTCTGGATGGCAATCTTGGAGTTATCAGGACAGACGATTTGACGTCGGATTGATCACAATCACGGGAGGGTCTCGTGGGTTACGATTTTTAGGATTCAGACGTCAACGTCCACATGGAGACTTTCAGGCTTCATTTAGCAACATAATTTTAAGCTATCAAAGATGGTGTATCCAGCTTGACAGAGTAGATTGTGGGTGCAATTGAGGTTTACATATCACTGAACAGAATCTGCTCGCAGGTTTAGCCGGCAGAACTATTCTTCTGGCTAGATTTGCTAAAGCAAAATATTTCTGTCAGGTGCAGGTACTAGATAGCAATTGTTGGAGCTAAATGTGGAATTAAATTTCACACTACCATACAAGATGACCCGAATGAACACTTCCTTTCATACCAATGTTTTTTCGAACCAAAATGACAGACTATAGAATTATTATATATATTAGAATGCGTGTGATGAGACAGCCTATTATTTGATGATATTGCAGCCTCGCGCTAAAAATGTCGCGTAGAGTGGAATTTCACGACGCGTCTCCCTTGAATACACTTTCCATAATCTGAAATCCAAACTTTCTCACGACTTGTGAATCTCAGGAAACCTCGCAATTTTCTTCAACATGGCTAGCTTCTTCGATATCAAAGCTCGCAAGGCGGAAGCCGCTTCCAATGGCACCACAAATGCAAAAGAAGAAGCTAAGAAAAATAATCGCATGCAACCATGGGTTGAGAAATAGTCAGTCTTTTGTTCCTAGTGCGATCTCTATCTTCGATAACTTTACTAATGGATTTTATAGTCGACCCAAAGGTCTAGGAGATGTTACGGCGCAAGATCATACCATCACTGTTCTTCAACGCACACTGCAATCCTCCAATGTTAGCACCTTCCTGTCCCCCTCCTCAACCCAGCTCTAACATTTCCTCTCTCAGCTCCCGCATATGCTCTTCTACGGGCCTCCAGGCACAGGTAAAACCTCGACGGTTCTCGCCCTCGCCAAAGAACTCTACGGTCCCGAACTCATGAAATCTCGTGTTCTCGAACTGAATGCTTCCGACGAACGAGGTATATCCATTGTCCGCGAAAAAGTAAAAGATTTTGCTCGCATGCAGCTTTCCAATCCCTCGCCCGCATATCGTCAGAAATATCCATGTCCGCCTTACAAGATTATTATATTGGATGAGGCGGATAGTATGACGCAGGATGCGCAGAGTGCGTTGAGAAGAACGATGGAGACGTATAGTAGGATTACGAGATTCTGTTTGATTTGCAACTATGTGACGAGGATTATTGATCCCTTGGCGAGTAGATGTAGCAAGTTTCGGTTCAAGAGCTTGGACAAGGGGAATGCGTTGGTTAGAGTGAGGGAAATCGCGGATAAGGAGGGTGTTAGGTTGGAGGAGGGGGCGGTAGAAGCGCTGATTAAGTGCAGCGAGGGAGATTTGAGAAAAGCGATCACATATTTGCAGAGTGCGGCGAGGTTGGTGGGAGCGGTTAGTCCGGAGGGCGAAGAGAGAAACAATGCAGACAAAATGGACGTGGATGAAAAGATGGTTACAGTGAGCAGCGTGGAAGATATTGCAGGAGTTATACCGGATAACACGATTGAGAAATTGGTCAAGGCCATGCAACCTAGATCGAGAGGAGTTGTATACGAAGCTGTATCCAAAGTAGTAGTTGATATGGTGGCAGATGGGTGGAGTGGCACACAGGTCGTCTCGCAGGTATGGTTTTTCCCCTTCCCTCACAAAATGTGATAAAAGCTAAGACACGCAACAGCTGTACCAAACCATCATCAACTCCGAATTGATCGCCGACTCCCACAAAAACAAAATCGTAGCTCTCTTTTCAGAAGCAGACAAACGACTCGTGGATGGTGCAGACGAACATCTCACTATCCTCGACCTGTCTTTAAGGATATCCAATATTCTCGGCAGTTCTTAATCGATGTTTGACATGATATCACAGTTCCGAAAGATAGTTTGGGGTGGTATTTGTATAGCAAAGGTATTGGCGTTCAGGTTATCATGAAAAGCAGACACGGAAACGATATTAGGAAAAGCGTATGTAGCTATAGTATGTATCATGACCTACCTCTTCATACTTTAGATTAATATGAATAGATGAAGATTAATATGAGCCTGCGATGACCACCGTTGATGCTATTGAGCAAGGAGAGTTTTGGAATATAGTTGCGCCATAGTAACTTTGACTTTTGTTGCAAATCTGTTGGCTTAACAAACTTGGCGTTCTTACTTCAAGTTGAATTTGGAAACGACTCTCTTTTAACAGCGGTCTCTTCATGGAGATATAAAAGTTTTGAGGGGAGCATGGTGTTGCTCTGTTTAGATGTGTCTACTAAGAGTAAATTGTGATGCTATACCTCTCTACTATAGATGTGAATGGATGGGCCATGTGAAGTGAATAAAGAAACCTGTGTCGAATGAGACACACAGAGTTGATGCTGGAGACCTTGAGGACATGATGGATGATTCCTGGGCCGATCGAGATGCTAATTTGAGATGTTTCTTGGAGTACTACTGTATTCAAATGGCTTATCATATCACAAAATTCAGATCCAAGCAAAATTTTAAAAGAATGTTATATATTAATTACACAGTTAAACAGATAAACTAATCGTAAAAGAATATAAAAGTCCATCCAACCCGGCCATCCAGCACCAAAAAAGAAATGCAAATGTACTCGAGAACCAACAAAAGAGACGTTTATGTTCATGCCCATCATGTGCTCATATCTTAATCCTCATTGCTCACCCTCACCCTCGCTCATTATCAATTTAACTACTCCATCAGTTCGAAGTCTGCGGCTCCTTTGACCAACTTCTTCAGCCTCTTCTCGATGATCTCTCTTCCCTCGAGCGTCTTCCACACCTCCGAAGGAGCTCCTTTGACCACATCCCAACTTTTCAAGTTATCCGTCAAGTGACTAAGATCTTCTTGTTTTCTCTCCCACTCACTATCTCTCCTGACCTCAATGCCGGAACTAATCAGTACAAGTGGTGTACTTGCATACTGTATATTCCTTGCACTACTAACCTCATTCTTCGTCAATGAATTGGCGACCAGAGACTCTTGAAGCTTAGCCTTGAGGAACTTTCCACCTTGATAAGCTGAACGTCCGAATACTCGATCTTCACGGGTGCGGCCATTGAAAATGGCGCCAAATGTACGATCCAGACCGAGAGGTGAGAGAATGCCACGACCCCAAAGAACAAAGCCTCTCTGTGGTGTGCCGAGACGGTAGAGAAGATCTTCGTGGAGAGGGTCGATGAGAAGAAGACCTGCAATTTCACGAGCGTGTCGGGAGGAGAATATACGACTGTAGATGCTGCCTACCCCTCCACTAGCGAGAATCCAGGGGCCTTCTTCGCCTGCGCGAGCTAAAGCTTCTGAAAGTGCGTCCGCTGCCATGCCTGCTGAAAACGGAGATGGTGCATTGTCAGACCATGCGATCCCAGGTCGGTCAGAATAACAATATCGGCTGATGCTTCCATTGACAAAAGCATTCGTTGCAATCTGAAGCATGCCATGCTCGAACGGTCCATCGCCAGCTTCAAATAAAACTGTTGGGTTCTTCTTGCCCTTTGCATCCGTGACATTACCTTCGCAATAGACATGTATTTGGTATTTGTCACCATCGACGTAATATCGCTCTCCTGGTGGCGCAAGGGAGGCATCGCGAGATCTCAAGATGAGTGTAGCCGATAAGAGAATGGTGACAAGTGCCAAAACTATAAGAATGATTGTAGATATTAAGACGGAACACCATTCTCTGAGCGTTCGGCGAGTCTCTGCTCGGCCAGTTAAGCGCTCCTCCTCTTCTATTTTGCCAGCCGCTACGACTCGGTCTGTAACAATCGTCCATATAGCTATGAGCAGGGCCCAGACAACACTAGCAATTCCAACCCATCCCTCCTCTACACGAAGACGTGGGACGGAGACTATCATTATCATGTCGACCAATAGGATCACGGCGATGACAAGACATGTTACTTGTGCGGCTTTGGAAGGCGTCGAAAAGAAGAGAAGCACAATGAGTAGCAGGCCGAGGGTCAAAGTAGTATATGAGAAGTCGAAGAAACCAGAGCCTCTCGAGTGCATGCCTGGTGGGGAAACGAAGATTGATACCAGCAGCAACACCCACCACAGAAATGTGATGATGGCGAACAAAACTGTGAAGTATCGCAAAAATCGCACGCTCCATAGATTGTATGGAGATACCTATATGAATAACCTATTAGCACAAGATTACAATCAATCTCCCATCTGGAGATTGCAACCTTGGTGATGGATTAAACAGAGGGGGCAGGAAGCTTACAGCTGGATCATCGGGACTCAAGTAACCATCACGGCTTGGTGGAAGTAGACGAGTACGCTCGTCAGCCTCATGAGAATAATGAGGCTGAGGATGTACTTGGTGAGAAGCTACAGGTTCATTCGAATCTCCATTTTGAGAACGAGGACGTGAATGCACACTTCCAGAAGCCGAAAGATGTTCGCTATCCTTCTTGGAACCCCATAAGGAGGACGCCATGATCACTATGTTGAGGAACTCCTGGTTGTGGAGAGACTTCTGCGACAATAATCACGATAAGCTATATCGTGAGTGAAGAGATGAAAGGACTGATATGAAATAATAAGAGACCAAAATCTCCTGGGGAGAAGGATGAAATGAAAATAGGTTTAAAAAGGAGATCAATCGTCACCATGAAATACTAGGGAGGCAGATAACCTGGGCACCGAGAATGCTAAGAGTTAAGACAATGTTAGAAATGAACTAAAGCTCAAGATCAAGATCAAGCAAGGAAAGAAGATCGTTTTGTTGTTGATCTAAGCCCAATGGAACTGGCGTCGTGCGCGTTGATGAAGCTAGGTAGCTTTTGTGTGTGGTAGATACCGGTATTTGGATGTGTATGTGGATTGTGATTGTGATTATCTACCTACCGCCAGCATTCTTCTGCTGCTGCTGCTGCTGCTGCTGCTTCTAGACCTTGTTCTTGTTCTCTTCCCGTCCGTAGTATTGGTTTTTAGATTTTGAGGCTTGATCGATGATCATTGATTGATACCTAACTAGATACCTAGATACCCAGCACATATGAAGGGGGCGGAGGTCAATGGATCAGCTTGTTTGTGGAGAGGGAAGACCGAGGGAATTGAAGGGGATGATGTCATTTTTCTTTGTGCCATAGCTCAGTCCTTAGTAATCATAAGTACCTAGGCACGTGCTAGGCCCCTAGGTAGGTCAGTACATCGAGACATGGTCACTGGACTGGTTACAACCTACCTAGTCTCCTAGTACATACTATACTACCTAGGTACTTACTAAAATAAGGTTGGGCGGTAGGTACACATACAATGCCAGTGAATGCATAGGTAGATACATAACAAATCATGCTTTTTGGTGCTACCAACCTCAACCAATTGCCTTCCTTTCCATCTTCAGGAATCTGTTCAGACGATGACATACTCGACATACGACATACTAGGTACTCGAGCGCATCCTCGCAGTCTTGAATCTCTATATTACTAAGCATTGCTCTTATCTTATCTATACATCGAATGGCTGGTGCTTTCTGTGGGTGTGGCTGACGACATCATCATGGCTTTCCAATTTACCCATCTTCTCTTTTCTCAACCCTTCTAGAGCTTCATACACGAATTTGATTGTTCTTTAATTTGATTTCCAGTTGATAGCTTATTAGACTTGAATTTGTTCCCCTCACAAATGACCTTCACCATTCGATACAAATAAATACCGCAGATTTAACTTCTGTAAATAAATTTCAAGATGAGCGACTTACAAAGGTCCTTTGTTAAGCCCAAGCTGCCAAAATTTGCTCCGCCAGAATTCAATGAGGCCGACGAAGAGGAAGAGGAAGAGGAGATTGATATGCCTAGTGAACTACCCGATCTTCCAATAGATGACGATTCTTCCTCGGCATCTTCAGCTTCATCTACTGGCACCATCATACCATCCTCGTATCAGAACTTGTTTGCTCGGCCGCAAGGGTTTGTTCTTGCTTATTGCTCATTGTTTGTGCCGGGCTGATACATTCATTACCATCAGTGTTCCTAACAAACGAACGATGGATCAGATACCCTGGACGACTTATTTTGAACGAGAACTGTTTCTCGAACGCAAGTTGGAAGCAGAGACCATAATGCATCATGCATATCTTACATCTCCTGTTGGGTCAGCACCTTTATTTATTACACATCATGGAGCAGGATCATCCGGCCTCTCGTTTGCTGTTTTGACGTCGGAGATTCGAAAAAAGCTGCCTTCTGCCGGTGTCCTTTCTCTTGATGCTCGAGGTCATGGCTCTACGGAGATCTCTCCAGAGGCAGAGCTTCTCGATCTTAGTCTAGAAACCTTGAGTTCAGATCTGTTATATGTCATTGATGCCACAAAAGACAAAATGAATTGGAAGCAACTTCCGCCTCTTGTACTTGTTGGTCACTCTCTTGGCGGTGCAGTTATTACAGACGTTGCAAAGAGCGGAAAATTAGGCAACTCGGTTCTTGGATACGCAGTTCTTGATGTAGTTGAGGGTTCTGCTATAGATGCTTTACAAAGCATGCAAACTTACTTATCGACTCGTCCACTAGGCTTTCCTTCACTGCAATCTGGCATTGAGTGGCACATGAGGTCGAGAACAATACGCAATTCGTTGTCAGCGCGGACGAGTGTGCCTGGGCTACTAAAGCACAACGAAGAAGCTAGTGGACCACGATCGTGGACATGGCGCACAAATTTGGGAGCCACTCAACCATTTTGGGAAGGTTGGTTTGTTGGACTTAGCAAAAAGTTTCTTGAGGCCAGAGGTGGAAAGCTATTACTGCTTGCAGGGACAGACAGACTTGATAAGGAGTTGACAATCGGACAGATGCAAGGTAAGGAACATCTTTCTATGTGAAGTCTGTAGAGAGCAGGCTTAAATTGACAATCAATAGGGAAGTATGCGCTGCAAGTTTTCCCCGAGGCCGGTCATTTTGTTCACGAAGACCTTCCTGAGAAGACAGCAATGGTGCTAGTAGACTTCTATTCAAGAAACGACCGAAGTGCATTGATATTACCACCAAAAGTGTCAGACCTTATCAAGGCCGGTAAAAGAGTGTGAACTTAGCTAGATGTTTTGACCGACTACAGTAATAGGTCTCGAAAAATTGGAAAGCCATATTACTACTTCCTTAAAGTTCCTTAGGCAGTCAACGGGCGACATCGAACATAACCTCTCGGAGTATCGAAAAATCTTGGGCTCTCCAGGTGGCCTGTGTTTTGAAGCTTGAGGAACAGGCTCGGCAGGATGCTTAATACGTGCACAGCACATTGAAAGTGGAATTGCGGCTGCTATATTGTGGGTCTCAGCATCATCCTACCATACTCCCCATCGAATCAGACTAGGTAGCTTACTGCACGTGAGAAATGTTCAATACTTCCAAGAAAGAGCAGCATCAAATTACTACTCTTAGAATATTCCAAGAAAGAGCTGCATCGAATTACTGCTCCTAGAATGTCACATCCGCCGAGCCTCAGGGGTCAATCGTACAAGGTAACCAATAAATCTTTCCCCGTAAAATAAATTTCCGTTTTCAAGCGTATAACCATTTAAACGGAACCACGGGCTGCTAGGCATCCAGATCATCTTTTGTGGGGGCTAAATAGCATTATTTTAATCAATCACTTCGCCTGCTCTTTCTCAACTTTATTGTGACACGTTCAATAGTCTTTGCATCATTCCATTTCACGTGGAAAACGGTCAAAATAAAGTTTTCATTTCGTTGGGTGAACCAATCAACGTGACTGTTTTCAACAACTACAGAATGCACTTTTCAGACTCACTTCTCATCGCTGGGCTCATTGCCTTTGCCTCAGCATCTCCAGCTCCAGCTCCAGAGCCAACGACGCCATCTGCGTCGTATGTTTGACTTGTCTATTTTACCTACATCTCCCAAACATTGGGATTTCATTCCACTTTAAACCCCGTGACATTTCCTTTTTATGCATGTCAACTGCACTTTTACTAACACTTCCCCCAAAGTCAAACTCAAGCTCTAGTTGACGACCTCCAATCATACATCCTCGACCTTGCAACCCAGCCCATAGTTTCCAGCCTTGCCACCGATACCGCCGCCATCAGCTCTCTCGACTCCTTACAAGCGTCCCTCCTATCCGACGTCAGGGATGGCGAAACTCCAAATACATCCGTATTGACTGCTTTGCCCTCTCCTCTCGCCAGCTTCATCGGTTCCATCTATACAGCGGAACTGAGCATCGCCAGCAAAAATGGGTTTGGCGATTTGATAGCAAGCGCAACTGCTACTGAAGCTGCATCTGCTTCGGCTACCGGCGCGTCACAAACGGCAAGTGGAACTCAGAAGACTTCGACGACGGCGGGATCGGCGAGTGCAAGCTCGAGTGCTCCGGTCACTGTTGAGACGGGTGCTGCTGGTGCATTGGGTGTTGATATGTTGAAAATTTGTGGAGGTTTGGCGGTTGGTATTGTGGGCGCTGTGATGGCTCTGTAATGGAATCCGTCGGTATATATTATGATGTATATCATTCATGTCGTTTTGGTAAAAATTTCGAGGTTTAAGAAGCATGATTCCTTCTCTTGATGATAGTTAATGAACCCAATTATTATATCTAAGCTTTCTCTGTATGCAATCTTAATACTAGGTAATACCTATGATTATTACTTCTCAGAACGAGTGAATTTGGATTCATCTTGCCATTGGCCAGGCCACGTGTAGTAAGCCTTAAGCGTCGGAAAAGATATGTTGATGAATTGTTCTGACAACTTGCCCCTTGACCAGGTAGTAGTATTTCCAACTCTTGGGTGAGATAGATGCACTAATAACATGACGGTTGATATCTTGGCATATAAAACTTAAAAAATTGGACTCTCTGAGCAGCCACTTAGTTGCTAGTAGGCGAAAACGATTATGCCCGGAAAGTCGTTGTTCTTGCAAGGGGGTTGAAATAGAAAATACATGAATCCCCTAGTTTTCGTGAAAAAGCCTATCGAAAATCCTATGGGGATAATAGCTTTTCAGAGACACCTGGTTTCCTCGACTAGGAATTAGTCGGCCACTTGGAGAGCCGACTATTAGAGCCGAAAGCTTGTCGGTGGTGGGTTCGAGAAGGGTCGGCCATTGAGCCGTACGAGCACGTAGGAGAGTGAGCAGAAGGCCTCTCGTGCGGTTGGTCCGGACAACGGTTCGAGTGTTGGCATACAAAAGAGAACATTGGGAGTTAGGCTACAACAAGACAAGTGAATTAGGATTCTAAAAAAGCTAGTCTAAGGTAAATGTCTGGAACCAGGGAGTGTAGACGAAGCTTCAGTGGAAACATTCCTTTTTTTGTCGCGAGAGAAGTGCACCTAGTATCACACTGTATCTAGGGTGCTTATGCATTATTGATGAATTTGACATACTGTGTCCAAAATGACACAAAAGCCGAAGTTGGTTGCCATTGTGAGTTGCCTAGCACTCTAGTATTGATTGTCCTTGTAATTATGGTATTCTGAGCACTTTGACCGAGTTTCTGACCTTGTTAGTTTACAAAGTGTCGATACAAAGCACGTTTGTTCCCTAGGGTTGTGTGATAACTTTTGCGGTCAATATGAACTGGCCTGGTCTATCAACGTACAACTTCAGGCCTGCAAGATTCTGTCAGTAATATTGTTTTCTGATTTCATTTTTTCGGGGATAGGGACGTGTACTGGTGAGCATGAGGGATACAGGCCGAATTTGCGATCAACGGCATGTCTTAATTTGGCGCAATGAGGACAGAAGAGTAGTCAGTCCAGATAGCATGACGAGATCGTTGCGAAAAGCTCGCTGCCTAGATCGTGGCAATCTGATGGATTAACACCGGCTTTTGTAATTTCGTAGTCTTACTTGTATATAGGAACACCGCGATACACAAGGAAGAATCCAAATTGCACATCTATACCACGACACGGAGTCTAAACTGCCATCTAAAGCACCTCATTTTGTATTTCAACCCCGTCATCTTAAAAACTTTAAAATGTCTTCAGGATCTCCATCTCCTAGAAACCCCATCGACAACGAAGGAGGAAAACGTAAACATAGAGGATCCAGTAGCGTTGCATCTAGAAATAGCAATAGCAATAGCAAGAAGAGAGAGCGTACTCAGCCTCCCAAGGATCGTGCAAGGACTGAGGGAGGCCGCTCTTCAACAAATCGCTCGAGCTCTCGAGATTCAAGAAAAAGCTCAGAGAGATCCCAGTGGTCTTCAGATGGCGAGCTTCCGGAAAATGTTATGAGCGCGACAGATCTAGCCCTCTATCGGAACCGAGAAAATCGCCAACCATTAAATGATAGTCCACCACCTCCACACTCTCCGCCCAGACTTCAAAAGAAAAAGTCACTAGACTCTTTTCCTTCTTTGAGTGAGACGCAAAGCGAGAAGATTGAAACAGAAATCAAGCATATACGAATGAAGATAGGTTGGCTGAACCCCAATAGCTCAGCGGACAGGCAAACAATAGCTGAATACGACCACCAAATCAGAGAACTTGGACGGCAATTGCGGCCATTGCGGAGAGGCTGACATGTAAAACTTCAGAAGCAATGGTACATCTCATATGTATAAGAGCTATCGGAGACTTGTTGGAAAAAGCAAAGGGTTTGAATAACAAAGATGGCGTTTTGGCGAAGGTTGGGTGTCATGAGTATGGAGTTTAGCATACCTGTTTTAAAGACTGCAAAAGAAACATGAAGTACTTTCACGATATACACGATCGAGTGAAATCTAAATATGGCACGTATCAGCTACCCGAGTATCCTACTCCTCTGGCCATCAAAAGTCTTGAGGTATTGTAGACGTGATATTATACCACTTAGCATCGTATGAAATGCTATCAAACTTTACCCAGATTTACAATGCTTGAATGTAAAGCGAGGAAAAACTTGACTAAAGAGTTTCCTCTGCCGGTAGTGAGCTTTCAGGTAGACTAGCAGTGCGGCAACAATCACAAGGTAGAACTGCTACTGTTCAACGGGAAATCCGAAGAAAAAAAAATGTTGAAAACTCGGGTCTGTGGGTGTACTTTGTTGCTAGATAAATGAAAGCGCACGGGAACACATGTCGATCTCGTGAAACAGCTCGCCATATTCTTCCAACAAGTTCTACACTGATGCGGTTTGTTACTGGAAAAAATTGCGAGAACTCTATTTCCAATGTCAAGAACTTGGCAGCTATACCAATTCTGAAGAATCGGTCATGTTGACAACCTGACTATTCTTGTTCCGTTTCAGCAAACATCCATGTTGCAGGCATCATATTTCTTTGGTTGGCGCATATAGTCGAATTCGGAAATATCGGCGGTGAGGATAGACTGCTCGTCCTTGGTCTGCTGCAACATTTTAGAACGATAATGAAGAAAGACTAGAAGAAGTAGACAAAGCAGACCATGCTAGGACAGGTATTTTGCTCGAAACCGAGATCGACAACCTCAGTGCCCGCAAACTGGCGCTCATTGCGCTCAACCTTATATTGATTGTCGTTTCAACTTTGGACTCAAGCTTGTGTCTTCAAAAGTCGCAAATCGTGCCACGTCGAGTTATCATAGCATTTCCAATTCTTCAATTTCATAGATAAGAAAGAGAGAAAGAGAGAAAGAGAAGAATTCTGGGCACACGGAATAAACAAATTGCATCAACAAAGCCTAGAATTCATCAGCAAAATATACCCTTGTTCCCCCCTCACTCACAATGTCACCCAAGATCGTTTTTAATTTGGATTTCATGGCAAAAACAAGGAGGATCCCACAGGTCATATATTGCCCGGGAAATGGATTCAAATTTCCCCGCGATTTATGCGTCTCAGTGTTTGTTGTGAGATAACTCGAGACCTGAACATGAAGTCATCGTGATTTTTCTCAATCCAATGCTGCATGTGTAGCGATTGGCAAGATATTCACGATGTCATTCATTCGAGTTGCTATATCAGTGATAGAGCATGTCCCAGATGGCGATGTGCACCGTGAAGTCGGCGAAACATGTTTTAGATCACTCGCAGGACAAAATGCACCCACGGTATTGTAAGTCCTATGCTATAATCTTACCGACAGTTACTTACTGTACGTAAAGCCCACACGTAGTCAGACAGTTGTTTAGGCTTCTTGAGTCACAGCGCTTAAACTTTGCAATTGGTTGGTATCGATCCGTTTGGAAGTTTCCTCGCTCTGTCGAAATGAGCGACGGCTAGACTAAAGAAAAGTGGTATCGGACTATCAGACTATCAGACTATCAGTCCATATTCTAATTATCAATCATGGTAGGTTAGGGGGTGTTTTCCGACTCTTCGGAGTCAATCACCAAAGGGTGCCTCTGCTTCAACTTGGGGAGACTGGTGGACTCGAGAGCTAACAAGCGAAACCCACTGCTACCCACTCAGTGTACCAAGCAAAGACTTTACTCCGTGGAAATAATCTTCTGTGCACGAGTGGACACTTGCAAGTTGAATCATTTGTTCCTTGGTTGGCCACATCATTTTTAATCTCGTATTCCTAGAAGTCGCAATCAAAAGTGTAAAAGTCAAACAACTTTTGAAATCCAATCCACTGAATTCACCAATATAATAAGACAGAGTTTGGTGGCTGACGTAAAAAAGAGTATAAATGATAGAGTCGGGACAGTCGGGACGCGATACTCGATACTCGATGTAAGGTTTTTTTTTTTTCTCGAGACGACACCGAGTATCGTGAAGATGTTTGATGTTTCTGCGCATTTAGGCTATGCTTACTCAACATCATTGAGCCTTGTTACTGTGCTTCATCCCCTCCCCCTTCCTTCCCGTTTATTGGTGGTGCAAAAGCTAAGCTTCTCTCTACTGCAGTCTACAGCAAACACTAGGTTCCATGTAGGTCCTGCCCGCCTACAGGGGAAAGTTAACTGTTTTTCGTAAGGCTCAGGTACCCTTTCCATTAGCCCTTGTAAATCAACGCATTAACGCATCCTAGAATTAAGGTTATTCATAGGGAATACTAAAAGTGGTGAGTGATCTACTTGATTCTATGTACGATATATTTGGGCTCTTGATGCGGACTTTTGGGTATCGATGAAGGGGTTAACCGAACAATATCTGATCTTCATTCAGTACATATCGTCTATTCCATCCTCACTTCATGAGACGACAATGATTCTATCCTTACTCAGCCTTGAACCAAATTGCAGAATTCTATTCGTGTAACGTGCATTAAAACAGTATAACAGTATGTACGTACCATGGAAGTGAGTAAAATTAACCCTTGTCATACTAATTTCCTTTTTCAGGGTTTTATCCTCAGTAATTACCTATGCTTCCAACATAATCCTCGAATCAAATGATCTATAGCCCACCAAAGTACATCTCGTCTAATAACCCTCCGCCTCCAATTCCATCCTCCGTCAACCAAATCTTACACCAAATTCACTCAAATCTCTCTTGTGTCAATCATCAATATGTCGAAGTTGGCTCCGTGTAAGTTTAACTTTGTAACCAATCCAGATCCAACATCCTGACCTTAGCGTTTGATCCTTCTTCTATTAAAATGTATAATTATATCCCAGCCTAGAACACTCCCGAGCCACCCCCCTCCCTCCCCATAAGTTAGAAGTGGTGCTGCCAAGGGTAATGGCACATGCACCTGTAGGTTCGCGAAATGAGAAAGTAGTTTAAAGAATCCTCTCTTTCCAGTTTCTAACATTCCTCTCTTCCTTCTTATTCACTACAAACTGAAAAATAATAAAAGAAAATCAATCCTTTTTTTCTTCTTCCCCAACCTTAATCTTTTGTATCTTTGATACTGTCCATTCTTTGAATATCTTCTCAATCAACCCTTAATATCAAAATGCGTTACCAATTCGTTTCCGCCGCCATCTTGGCCTCCATCTCCTCCGTCTTTGCCCAAACTGCTGGCTTTGACGCTATCTCAGTTCCAACCAACGGTCAAGTTGTCAGTGTTGGAGATGTTTTGGATATCACATGGGCTCCTAACTCCGTCTCCGGAACTGTTACCATCAAGCTCTTGGAGGGTTCTTCCCCTGCTACCTTGAACTACGACCCTGTTGTCGTTGCCAGTGAGTTACAGTTCCTTTCTATGCATTGAAGATCAGGACAATTGTACTAACAAACATACTTAGCCTCCATCAACAACTTGGATGGATCATACAAGTGGACCGTCCCAGCTTCCGTTGGTAGCTTCGCAACCTACGGTATTGCCATCTTCCTCGATTCCGATGTCAACACCTTCCAATGGTCATTCCCATTCGTCATCAACGCCGCTACTCCCTCCTCTTCCTCCGTCATCGTTTCAACCACCGCCTCATCATCTGTTGTCGCTCCTACCACCGCCTCATCATCTGTTGTCGCTCCTACCTCCGCCGTAACCTCCGTCGTCGCCTCTGCTACCACCGAGTCACACGCTGCCTTGTCCTCCTCCACCAGCTCTGTCTTCTCTAGCATCTCTGGTATCCCAGGTGGATGCAACCCAGCTCACGAGGGATCCTGCCCAAGCTCCTACTTCAGCACTGTCACCACCGCTACCGCCACTCCAGCTCCAGTTCCAACCGCTGCCCCAGCCACCAACGGGACTGCCACCAACGGAACCTGGACTTCTCCTTCCGGATCTAACGTCACCTTGAGCTCCGGTGCTTCTGCTACCAAGACCGGCTCCGGTGTCGTTATCGCTACTGGCGCTGCTACAGCAAAGGTTGCTACTGGCTCCTTCGCTTTGTTGGGTGGTCTCTTTGCTGCTTTCATGTTGTAAATCATTTCTCTTCGTACCGTTAAGATTTGAGATATAATAGATAACACCATGGTAGATATATATCAGCATACATTGGTGCATATACTCATTTGCATTGGGATTATAGAAATACAAAGGACATACAAAACGCATTGCGCGGTGCTAGACAGCAACACGTTTTCATTGAGTCTGGTTTGGGTGAGGATTTAAAGCTTCTGGTTACATAGGGTTATAGGACCATCAAATGTTATGATAAACTTCTTTTACATACCCATCACAAGTTTTAAGAATACCCAGTGTTATTTGGTTAATGATGGATGGGTTTCGAGGGGAATTGTTGCAGTGGTTTGGCTTTTAGAATGATGAATGAAGTCAGCATTTTTGATCTTTATATTTTATTTGTGCATATAGTGACTGAACTGACGAGTGACCATTTTGCGTGATGCTTGTGATGTGTAAATCTAAGTTTACCAAGGGAGTTGTGCTCTGTCAACTTCCTACCGAATGTATTGGGCAGCCCAAAACCACTCATGCTTCGTTGTGCTTTCCTTCCCTTGATCTTATCTACATCAATATAATCAATCTATTCTCACGGTTAAATAGGGATCTAGGAGATTCCATATGTTTTGTTTCGATCTATGAAAGTTATCCACGTCGATATATCTCCACTTCATGTACATCGCCGTCTCAAATCCCATCAACAGGAAAGAGAACATCGATTGACGATGAGGATCGAGGCAGTCTCAACTTCAAAGTTTGATCTAAGTTGAGACTGCAATAGATTGATTCATTCCGTCGTAATGCGAGGATAGAAAACATCTCAACATTTTTGATCTCCGGGTCTGTAGCTGGATCTCCCGAGATAGCTGAACATGGTGTATTGGAAAGAAGAGAAAGGTTTTAAAGCTGTTCATTGAATGAATTAGTATGATTCGAAGATTTCCGAGGAACGGCCAGTCGAAATCGTGTTGTTCTACACTCGCATGTCGGGTGATCAGTCATCTCACATACAATCCCCAAATCTAGCTGACGATAGAAACTTTACCTGGCCGTAACACCTGCTTCTTGTTCCAGACCCATTGGATCTCTCGGAATCAGTTCTGGGCCACAAAAGCAAATGAAGGGGATTGCTTCTGTCGTAGAAGAAAAGCAGTGGTATTGTTCTTATTGGATTCCGGGCTTAAAAGTGTGGATGCCCGCATTATCGAGATTTCTTGATGCTGATCAAAGTATCTGCTTATTAGGTAGTAGGCATAATACCGCATCTTGAGTACGCGATTATATATATTAAAAAAACGATCAAAGATAACTGGAGAGATAGATGATCTGTCAGTTGTCTCGGGGATTATTGTACAGTACTAGATAGATAACGTATTGAACCTTGCGCTGCTGTCGATACCCCGCGGCGGGGTAAGGTGGGTAGCACTGAAGCACCAGCATGATCGCCCACTAAGAGATAATCAACCTTCCCGCCTTCATTTATAAATTACCCTTTTCCCTTGAGAAACCGTGATACAAACTCAGGTACTGTCAATAATAAAGTCATAAAAAGCATGTCACCAACGGCGACTTCACTCGATAATGAACCCGCAAATAATAGTCGAGTGGGCGCAAAGGGGACGACTGTGTCAGGCAAAAAGCTCAAAATCAGGTCGTACCCGAGGTTTGAGAGTTTAGAAGAAGAGAGATTATATCGCAAACAGCATCTGGCTGCTGCATTTAGAATGTGAGAATCCTTTTAAAAACTGTGATACTTGAATTGTGACTGAGATGTGACAGATTTGCCGATCGAGGTTTCGATGAAGGGGTTGCTGGCCATATGTGAGAATACCGTCGAGTGATATTCTAGTCGCCGATGATAAGAAGCTAATTAAATTTGGATAGATCAGTTCGTGACCCCATTCTTGCTGATCACTTTTGGCTTAATCCTCTCTCTCAACATTTCTCTCAAATCTGTGTATCAGACCTTATCTTGGTGAACGAAGATGGTGATGTGGTAATTGGAGATGAGCCAATCAATGCTGCGGCGTTTGCAATTCATTCTGAAGGTACAAGAACTCCACAGTCGGGCTGTTTAAGATAGCTGACATTCTGCAGTTCACAAAGCTCGTCCCGATGTACATGCTGCTTGTCATGCCCATTCTGTCTATGGCAAAGCCTACAGCGTATTCGGTCTTCCTCTTGATATGATAACTCAAGATTCTCTCCGCTTCTACAAATCACATAGTGTATATGACAATTTTGGAGGGATCGTACTTGACCGCGAAGAAGGTATTCGGATCGCGAAAAGTTTGGGCAACGGTAAGGCGTGCATTCTATAGAATCACGGGCTGTTAACGGCAGGCCAGAGTGTGGATGAGGCAGCCTTCTGGTTCATTAGCCTTGATAAAACTTGTCATGCCCAGCTACTTGTTGATGCTGCAGCTTCGGGTAGTGGGAAGATGAAGAAGATCATTGGAGATGAGGAGGCAGCTTTTACTTATGATCAAGTCGGAGGTATTTTGGCTTCTATTTGGGTGAAATCTACAGATTGCTGACTCGAAGTAGGACCGGACAAAGGGTGGTTAGCATTTCAAGGCTACTATGATGAAATTATGGCCAAAACAGGTGGGAATTTCCTAAAGTGACAACACGGAGGGAAATGGAGAGGGGGTCTAATCAGCCCGATTCATGGTCTGGTTTACTTCCACGTGTTCGCAGGCGCTGTCGTGACTTGAAGCATCGTCTAGTTTTGATTGTACCCATTCATACACATAGAGATCTCGATGAACCAAAATGTTTGATGAATGCTCTTTTGTCGGTCGCTTATTCCGTAGCCATATTGTTCAATGTTGTAATCGTAGGCGCTCCCCATGCACGAAGCAATCACAATCATGCAGGTCTCCGTTTAGGACGCAATTGTTTCTCCGAACATGCGACTGACACGATAATCCTTCGATTTTCCATCCTAAATCTATCTCAATGAGACAATATTCAGGAAGTTTTTCTCCGTATCCTGCATATTTACAATGATCGGGCACACATATCTGTCATATGTACTGTAACCTCGAGTGGAGTTTCCATGGTGAGCGCGAAAGAGATGGCGATTATCATGCACCCATGAATTCGGGACTTCCTTGTGAGCATCCGGTACCGATTATTCGGATATGTTAAGGAATGGTGGCTGAGAAGGGAAAACAAGATTGAAAATGGGGGATCGCTTTCTCTTCTTGAGTACAGATATCTAAAGGTGGGGCTGATATAATGTTGCCCAAAAGATGTTTGAGTAGCGGCCACTTATCATCCATGAATCTGATTCGAGGCACATGTAGCTGTGCCCTGCCTGCCATGGAGCTGACCGAACCTAAAGAGAAATTGAGGCAATGCATGTGACATGACGATAGTAAGGCTGTCCACTATTGAGACCTACGTGGTAACATATGAGACCACTCTGTTAGGGATTGATCAGCATCAACAGTGATTTTTCCCTTCTCTTTTTTTCATTCATATCTTTTTTCTGTTTCAGCCCCTTGGCTAAGTTATCCTCGGAAGATATCGAGTACCTAGGTAGGCACTGAGAGGAAAGAGGAAAGGTGTTGGTAGTTCAAAGTGACATGGACATTGAATGAAATATAGTAGATACACCAAATGTACCTTCTTGCTGTATCTTCTGCAATGTAACTTTGACTTGTTAGTGATCGAGGCGATGTACCCATTACCTCGGGAGGGGGTGGTCGATGTCGATCTGAAATGTACCGGGTTTTTGGATTGATTAGGTACCTACTAGATACCTCCAGCTAGTCTCTTGTCTTTTGTTAGTAGAGAGTTCATGCGGACTTTGAGAAGCCAAGAATAGATTGTTTCATCAGTTCGGAATGTTATGTAGTTGTGTAGGTAGCTGGAGGTATGAATGATATTGATGTAAGACCAGCTCGAAGATCAGCCATTGTATTATTATTCATCCATCCATCCATCCTTACGTTTCCGTTATCTTTCCTTGCCATCCTCGTGAGCCATCGCATACAAAATAAAACATGTAGGAAGGTAGGGGTAGATACTAGATACTAGATACTAGATACTAGATACTAGATACTAGATACTAGGTACAGCAGGTCAGAGGTAGGTATATGCTCTTTGCATAGGTAGGAGGGTAGGTGGTACTCACTAAAAGTAAGCTCTAGGTTATACTCTAGTGACTCTAACAGACAAGCTTATCTAATTGCCCCTCCCCCACCACTAATCTAATAATGTTCAAAGTTCAAAGTTCAAAGTTCATCCACATTTAATTAACCATTATCATGACGGACACTCGACCGTTGTAGCTAGGTAGGTAGGCAATTAATTCACTTCATTCAATTCTTCTTCTCAATACCTACCTACACATACTTTATCAATTCTTTCATTTCTTTCAATTCCCGCTCACTCCGTATCAATATCTACAACAGTGATCAAACTTCCATCTGTTCAGCTTATTAACAATCATTCTTCGTCTTTGCGAAGATCTATCGTCATCTCCACTTTACATTCTACCTATAGTCTACCTACCTACAGTCTACTCCGATATACCATGCGCCTATCTACCTTCTGAATTACCCATCCAGCTGAGTTGGAACACCACCACAACCGATCACCCACTTCCAAGGTAGTCAAAACAACGCCACAAAGGGACATCGTGCTTTCGTGCTTTCGTGGTTCTGTGATTTGCGAAACCAGAAAAAAAAAAAAAGAGGTGTGGTAACACGAAGCGGGAAGCCTTGATCATAGTCAAGAGCGGGGCTGATATCTTTCAGTCCTATCTTCACACCTTTTACTTAAGGTCATCTCACTGTCTAGTATACACTTACATTTGTGGCTATTCTAAAAAAAACTTGGGAATAATGGCTGCACAGTCAGGAAATCCTCGAACGAATCGAGGAGAGACTTCTCTTGACGCGGCAATGCGAGCGCCTTCTACTACCACTCCAGATGTCGTCGTTCTCAGCTTTGTGGACGAGGATAAAAAGGTCAAAGAAGTGGCAGATCCTAAAAAGGACCTTTGGGTATCTAGTGTCGATGGGTATGTTACATCTATTATCTCGTGCGATTCTGTTTGGAATGCACATCACTTTCTCAGAAATCGCAAATAGCCCATACTGATTTATTGATGATATAGTCGCTATTCATCACCGATGATACCGATCCGTGTCGGACCTCATGCCCAAACCTTTTATGTTCACCGCGATATACTCACCAAATCGGAATACTTCAGAAAGGCGTTGGATGGAGGGTTCAAAGAAGCCCAAGATCAAGCTCTCGATTTACCCGAGGAAAATCCTACGCTGTTCGAGTTTGTCATCGCGTTCCTCTATGAGTCAAAGTACTCTCCTTTGCGTCCTGTCGCAGAAATCCTCGTCGTCGAACCCGAAAAGGGTAAAGGAAAAGAGCAGAACGAAGATGGAAATGCTTCGGGTAGTGATGATGGATCAGATAGTGGAACCGCAAGCGATGAAAGGTAGAATCCCCTGCTGAATTTTCGAAACTTCTATGAGATCTCGTTACTAAATGCTCAAAGTGCCAGAAGTCGGAGAAGACGCGAAACTCGTCGCAGACGTCAAGAGCGAGCCTGGGAACAAAGACAACGAAAGGAATCTGGACGTCATCGGCCGGATTGCAATTGTGCTCAATGTACTGTGGAAACCTTTGGTCCAACCTGCTGGAACTGTGGCGTAACGAGAAGAATACCTCCACCCAGAAATCGTTGGATGAATGGTCTCCCACCACCACCTCAGCCAATGCCGGTCATAGCTCGTAATGGTTATCCTCAAGCCCCTGGCCCGAGAGATCGTAGAAGAGGCTCTCGAAACAATGCGGTGGATGAGCCCCCTGTAGAGGAGAGAATGTCTCAAGAAGATTTGAGAACCTGGTCAATTGCGTATTCTATAAGCGTCGATGTTTACGTTTGCGCCGAGAGATATCTCATGCAGGACTTCAAAAGCTGTATATCCGCATTCATCGTCAATAATTTCGAAGTTGCTGGATCAGATGCTGCACTACCTTCAGTCTTGAAATCATGTAAGACTTTATATGATGGCGTAAGCTCAATGGATCCTCTGCTCAAAAAAGTCTTTGCTAGAGTTGGTTTCTTGCAAGCTAGATTGTGGAAGAAGTATCCGGAGGAAACCTCAAGCTTCTTCATGGACAATCCGGAACTATCGACGCTGATTCTTAAGGAAATGGCCGAGAGGAGAGAGGAGGATGTCAAAGATGATTTGCCTGCTATGGATCGTCCTCCATTGCCACCTTTGCCAAGAGAAGACATAATGCAAGGTCCGAGACGTCGAAATTATGGTCCAATGCCTTATCACTAACTTTGACAAGACTTTAGACCGCAACAGGCACCACAACGATGGTACCATATGACCTGATATACTCTCATGCATATACATCAAAACATGCATTATTTTTCCTTTTATTTATGGGATCAAGGATCACGATGGAGCAAGGGCTCACATTTCCATTTTTTTTTAGCGTTCTTTTCTTCTCATCTGGGATACTTGAAAATGGAGCTTTGGGATACCTTGCATAGTGATGCGCACCTTCTCCTTATACCCTCAGCGTTATGAAAGCAAAGACTATTGGGGAGGATTGGAGTTTAACGGCAGGTCTTGGTCTTGATCACGTTTACCAGCATTAACTTTATTTAGCACGGAAAAATACATATTTCGGTGTAGCAAAGCCCGATATTTTAATCCATGGATGCAGTTGTGATGTGATATGATGATTGATATGTACCCAAGTATTAGGCGATATATTTTCCGCCTTTCTATTGGTCGCTTATTTCACTTAAAAAGTGTATGTGGAATCCTGGTCGGATTCTTCCGAGCTCTTTTCCCCCAGATCTGCACAACCCCGCCATTTAACATCTCTCTCCACCCAAAAAGTGTCTTCAATTAGGAATCAAGTTTGCATGCATTCATTGACCAGGTAGGTTTGTATAAATCAATGAATGATACTTGAAGTATGGGAATCTGGATATATAAAGGTTGTAAGTGCCAAGGAAATTGAAGGTTGAAGTTATCATCCATTACATTTCCATGATCGTTTTGGTTGCTCTCAAAATGGATTTAACCTCACTTCAATCTGTTTTACTTTCCTTATTCATCTTTCCCTTTCTTGTAACTGCACAAAATATTACAGCATCTCTAGATTATGGCACATTCCAAGGTGCATACTCATCTACATATAACATAACATATTATCAGAAAATCCCCTTTGCAGCACCCCCAATTGGGAACAATAGGTTTAGAGGCCCACAGCCTCCTCTTCCTATCACAAATGGAACCTATAACTCCATTCAAACGTTTCCCGCTTGTCCTCAAAAAGGTGTAAGCACTTTATCCCCATAGTCATATTACATATCCGGTCAACTTAAATCTGACACGACCAAATGTAGAACGTTGGATCAGAGGACTGTCTTTATTTATCCCTCTACTCTCGCCCATGGACGTCCAATCAGCCACTTCGACCAGTCATGGTAGTTTTCTTCGGAGGCGGATTCATTCAAGGCGGTGGTTCGCTGGCAGTCCCCCCCTCGGCCTATCCCGTTCTCAATGTTTCTACTCAGAATGATATACTCTTCGTATACCCTAATTATCGTGTCAATACATTTGGATTTCTCCCAGGAAAAGAGATTGCAGAAGATGAAAATTCTGATCTAAATCCTGGGTTGCTGGATCAGAGAGCAGTTCTCGAATGGGTAAATAAGTATATCGATCAATTTGGCGGAGACAAAGATAATGTGGGCATTTGGGGGCAAAGTGCAGGAGCGGGAAGTGTGGTGTTTGTTACTCCTTTATACTACCTCTAGAGCAATCTCTCTGATATACTCAATTTATGTCTTGACTAACGGCAGTCCTATACAGCGCACAAGTCCTCGCCACTTCCGGGGAAACCACACCACCCCTCTTTAACCGTGCTCTCGCTTCCTCTCCTTTCTGGCCCAAATCATACACCTACGATGCTCCCCAAGCTCAATCCATTTACGATACCATGACGGACCTGACAAACTGCACTGGTGCTATCAATGGCACTCTCCAGTGTTTGAAATCGCTAGAATGGGAGGTTCTAGCCGAAGCCGCGCTAGTTGTTGCGGCGAGTCACACTTGGAATACTAGTAGTTATACGTGGGCGCCAGTTATTGATGGGAAGTTCCTGAAGAAAAGTTTGAGTGAAGCGACGGTCAATGCGAAAGGTGGCAGAGGCGGCAAAGGGGAAATCGCTATCACAGGGGGATGGGGCATGTATAATGCGCATGAAGGTAAGATATGTTTCTTTTTCAGTCAGAATGGTGAAATTCAAAGTATCCTGTTGGACACTGGGCCGGTTTGATACCGCAGATTTGCTCCTTGTACATCGAGGGATAACTTACTCCATCTGATACTCTATGATTCTCCCGGTAGTTTTGGGTATTGAAGAGATATTGAAAATGAATTATTCCCTTGAAGTTGCATTACAGATATAACAAAAATCGCCCCTCTCAACTGCAGAATCGAATCATTAATATCTCCCAACTAGGCGAAAACTTCGTTCCCTCCAGCCTTCAAAACGCCACAGACACCGGTACACCACCCTTCAACTCCAGCATCGCCTCCTTCAACATCTGGCTCGCGGGCTACCTCCCCTCATTTTCCAAATCCCAGCTCGATGCCGTGCGCGCCCTATATCCTCTTTCCGGCACGGCAGAGACCTTTCCAGCCTACAATACTACGTACGAGAGAGCAGGACTCATATACCGGGACTCGGTACTAGCATGTCCAGCTCTGTGGACGAGCAAGGCGGCGAGTCGAAGTGGATGGATGGGAGAATATACGATCAGTCCCGCGAGACATGGAAGCGATACCATTTATGTAAATCTGCCTCTTTCCATCTTTTCCCTGCCCATCTCTTTCCTTCTTCCCCTCTCGTTAATTTTTCAAATCCGTCTAATCACTTCAACTAGTGGAACCAAGTAAACGCGGTCCAGAAATCGCAACCACTCATCTACCAAGGCTACGCAGGAGCATTCGCCTCCTTCATGGCCACCGGAAACCCCAACCAACACAAGCTGACAAATGCGTCGGAGCCGGGCGTGCCAGAAGTCAATACCGGAATGGAATATGTAATTGCGAGTGACGGATTCGAAAATGTAGGGATTGATGTGGGAAGATACAGCTTGGAGGCAAGGTGTAAATTTTGGGCTAGTGTTGCGGGGAGTGTGCCGATTTAGAGATGGGGGCGAGGATTGTAGAATGTGATTGGTGATGGTGTGGCTGGTTGAGCCATATACTGGAGTCTTGTATAGCTTGCAATGAAATATTGAGTTGTTCGCGTGGATATTGTGGAACTCATGTACACCCTGTCTATTATTGTTACTTACCTGGGTGCCTGCAATGCTTTGTAGTATGTTCCTCGTAGGGCAGCATATCTTCCTCGCAGTCCTAGTGCCGAGCATCAAAGGCGATAAACACCCAGCGAGAATGTAGGTAGTGCAAGAATGAAGGTAGATTGTCAAGGAAGTCTATTCACGTCGGCAATCAAAATGAAAAGGACATGCTGTAAACGTTATTTTATCTATAGGTGCTCTATTTACGCGTTCCATTTCTCACTGAGAAATTTAACATCCCACCTAACGTAGGTATCTGCTAGTTCATGAGCTGCTAGCAATACCCAGTTCTATATGTAAGATCGCTATGACTGAGACGAATTGAATAGGAAGCAAGTCTACAATCGTAACTTCGTGCACCATTGGCTAATTCCCACGCACAATTGCCGGGCCTCCCATCCTTTTCGAATCCCATATATCAATCCGTTTATGTAGGAATTCCCCTCCCCCAAGTAGGAATGAACGCCAACAATACCAACACCAAACTTTTCCCAGCCCAACAATAAAACGCCGCTTGTTTGTATTCCCCGACACCTTCGCTGAAAGAGTAATGTGCCTACCCGGTAATCTCCTCATGATGAAACTCCGAATAGCATAAACGCGGTCAAAACTCCCTGTTTCAAAAATGGCATTGTATTTAACTCCATAATGAAGCCTTAATCTTCCGCTTCTTCGTCAGTTGCCGTATCGTCGTCTTCAGGCGCATTCTCATCCTCATCCTCCTCCTCGTCTCCACTACTATCATCATCACTCTCATCTTTATTCAGTCCTGGAATGCCTTGCCATTGTACATAGTCGTCCTCAATCCACTTCTTTGACACAGGTAGTTGATATGGATCAAAAGGAAAGTAAGCATCGAGTTGGTGCCAGCTGTCATTGCTTGCACCATTGCCCGAGTCTCGCAATGCACCATTTCCGACTGCACTCGAGAACTGACTTAAACGAATACGTTTGTTGGTCTCTAGCAAAGGATATACGTACATAAATCGTAGATGATGTGCGATCTTAGCGAACTCGGAAACAATGGGCGGGGAACAGATCTTAAGAGGGTTGAGTTTCGAGTAAATAGCACGAGAGAGTGTCTCTTTGATACCTGTTGTCCAGACAAGATCTTGCCCAATGAATGCGGTAGGGTCCTCGTCATCAAATACCTCGGAAGAATCTATAAGATCTCGCCAGCGGAAGCAAAATATATAAAGTAGAGCTTGTGTCATAGCATAAAAAGTGCCATATTTCTTAAGATCGGGTCCCCGACAAGTGAGTTCATTTTCCGTGCGAATGTGATCCAGATTGCTCCCGATGAGCTCGAAAACGGTACGAACCACTTGAGGCTCAACGTGTGCGCCTCGCGCCACAAAGCTAGCGAGATAAGCCGCGGAAGATTGTCGAAGGACAGCAGGTCTTCCAGGTTGGAAAGCTAGTTGCACGCAGGTTCCAGCAAATTGATCGATAAGATGTTCAGACTTTTGTGCAAAGTGGAAGAGGAGGAATTGAGTGTGTCTAGATCTATACGTAGGTAGAATGATATTGGCGAAATGTCCTAGTAAAGTCTCGAACATATTTGCAGCTTCTATGCTATTTGGATCTGTGAAATAAGGATCGTAGATAGCAAATAAGCGGTCCAGTATTGCATCCATTTTTTCGACACTTTCTTGAATTTCTTTGGCACGTTTTGCTTGGTCTCCACTTTCATCATCGCTATTAATTGATTCCGCATCGCTGTCGTCGGAATCATCTGCGTCATCATCGTCTTCTTCTTCCTGGTCAGAAGGATTCATTGCGAGACCTTGAACAATAGCACCTGCGACCTCATCGTCCACGTCGTCCAAGTCGACCTGCATTTGTACGTCAATTTTGACCAGTCTGTCCGTGATGAGAGCGAAAACATCCGACTTCAATTCGGGAGCATATTCCAGAAGACGAACGAGATTGTTGATATATGTGACATGTACTCTCTTTGATTCATCGGCGAAGGGAAATTTGGTTGAAAGGATGGGCGAGAGTGTAGCGCTGGCGGAGGGGACCAATCGAAGGAGGTATCTTAGTGCAAAGTGAACCCTCGAAGAAAGTACATCGCGACTAACATCTGGGCAGCCAGGAAGACGCCCACTCGATACTCGTACTGTGTCCAGGTTAACAGAGCTTGGGAGACTAAGGGGGTGAGGGGTAACATGCCTCCAGTAAAGTTGTCAACGAGCGTTCCAAGCACCAGCCCAACATACGCTCCCTGTGCGCTAACCAAGTTTCCCAGAAACTGAGCATACGCCTTGACGAATCCCTCTTCTCTGCCCATCCAGTCGCACTTCAATATGGCCTTGACTAGCCCGTTGCAATCCTTATTCAATAGTGATGCATAGCCAGTCAGCGCTAGCAGATATGTTTTCGCTTCATCGTTTGAACCAGCATCCTCTCTCTCGTCACCCTCAGTCTGCGCAAATACTTCTTTAATGCTATCGTACTTTTCGCTGTCGCCTTTGCCATGTGCCTCTATTGCCCGCTTGACCTCCACTCTGATACTCTCTAAACTTCTACCCTTTGCGACATATTCCTCTAAAACCTTTTCTTCGACCTTGGGATTGAAAGACACTCTCGCTCGTTTCGGATTTGGCACTTCTAAATCGTCATCCAGATCTGCATCTTGAGCTTTTCTTATCGTGCCTGACATGGTAGTTTTTAAAAGTGGTTTGCTACCACTGGTGGTAGGTATTGAGGGTTTTGAGGTAAGAGATACCATGTTGCAAAATCTTGCAGTGGACAATTAGAATGTGTTGAGACCATTAATATTATTAAGAAAAATAATTGTTGTGTTAAGAAGAACTAAGTTGTGTTCAAAGCTTGGGTACAATTGATGATGGTGGTTTTTGCTCGTGTGCTTTTCTGAGGTAAGCCAGAAAAAATATTTTAGATCTACCTAGTCACATGATTGACCCCAGCTTTGCCCCTCCCTCCCCACTTGCACTAATAACTACCTAGTTTACGTATTCCCTGTGGACATCAAAGGTTCCCGAGGTCGAATCAGTCTTATAAATGCTTGCAGTAATAATAGTGATGAATACCTACGGGATATTGAGATCTTTAGGTCACTGTATGGCTCAAGGCTGAAAACTAAGAGGTGCTTCAAAAGGGACATATGCACATGTTGATGGTATCATTGTGTTCATTTTCCCTTGATATACAAGCCATAGAATGTGTAGTATTATTCTAGCAATCTGATGTGGGGCTGTTTAACCTACATCTGATGCTGTCCTTACTGCCCAATGTCATTCGTTCATCTCTGAGCTTTCATGAGACCGAACCCCCTAAGGTTATCGGCTTCTTGCTCTCACGAGCCAAGAAATCTAATAAAGCATCAAAAAAACACCCCTTACTTTTGATCCCATCCTTTGTACAAGGTAAGCAATTTGGATATCTCAAAAGTGGCCCATTAGCACCCGCCCAGTTCCTCCCTTCCCAACACCTTTGCATATAGTTGATACATTCTTGCAATGTAAATCTTTCGCCCATAAAATTCATCGATCATCCGACATAGTCAATTTGAATCTGAAATAAAACACCTAGTAACCTTCTCCGCCAGTAGCACCATTATGACCACCACCATAAACATAAGCACCGCCATCGTGCTCTGCTTCTACCTGTTGACCAGCGAGGACATTATTAGCACCCTCTGCTCCGACCGGGAACGTTGCCGAAGCTGCATTTGCAGTAGTAGCTCCAGAAGGTGGTCCGAAACCAGAGCTACCTGGTCTATTTTGGTTGTCTCCTCGAGTCGATTGTTGCTAAAAAAATCCGTTAGTCTTGTACATGGTTGGTCCAGTAAGTATGAATCATAGATAGATGCTAAAGGATATTTGATTAAGTGATTGGACTCACTTCTCGATATTTTGATAGGTAAATTTTGAGTGCTTCGGCATAATTTTCGAATCCTAAGGAGGTCATGGCGAAAAGAATGTCTTCTCCATTGACAGTCTTGCGCTTCTCTTGATGACATTTCTCAGAAGCTGTGATAGGTCAATTAGAACAGTACATTAATTTTTCTCGATTTTCGGACCGAGACATACCTTCGCTTGTGATGAAAGAGATGAATTCGCTGACACATTCTTGCATGCACTCTTTGGCCTCTTTTGCAATCTTTGCATTTTCTGGTAGAGCTGTCTTCATGATACGTGCAACTGGCGCAAAGTTACGAATGTTAGCTTCTGAATGACCAAGATCATATTTTTCCTCCCTCGAGGCGCCTCGCGTCTCCGGTGATTGAGAAGATGAAGTGTGAGACATGATAGGATGTATGATCACAGTGACACCGCTAGATTGAAACGTTTGTACTCCAAGCTCTTAACTGGTCCAAAGGCGAGGACATGCGCGTGTAATTAGTGTGATCAACGAAGCGATACCATTCACCATGAACTTCGCTATAGGTAATCACACAAGATTCGATCCAAGATGGTGAATGACTGAAAAAAAAAGAAATCATCAACTAACCATTTGCTATAGGGAGCCATCTATCTTGTTCTTTGACTTCAAACTCGTAGCCTCCAGGAGCGTGTGGATCCGTATGTTCATTCATTTGTGCATCCGTGTCATCTGGCGAGACTCCTTGTTCAACGTCCGTTTCCTTTGGAGGGGAATTGGACATGATGTATTTGGGTAGGTGCAGGTGTCGGATAGCCGCTTCCTCAAAATTCCTTGGTTGCCACGTCGGCCGTATGATGTGTAGGACACGTCGTAAAGCCTTGCGATCTCGCAGTTATGCGTATCTGCGTGTTGACTTGCGTTGACCCTCGAGCAGACAGCCTTCTTTTCCCAATGTGCTTACTCTACCTAGCTGGATGTTGCCGGAAAAACGCGAGTGAATGGGGGTTGCGCCTCCGTATGAAACTAGGGTCCTTTGAAAGGGTATCACTTTCTGGGCTGAGCTGCAGGTATCCTACTGCATAAATCGCGTCAGAGGGTTTACAAAAAATTCGGGGATAGAAGGGTGGGTAGAGAATTTTTTGGTATGAAATTGTAAAGAAAGCTTACCCACTTTCGTTCGAGGTCGGAGATATTCAAAGACTTCCTGCACGAAGGCGCCTTGTGTTTCTATGTTTATGAAATCTGCAAGACAATAAATAATTGATGCGCGTGGGTGGGAAAGATAGAAACGTGGGGTTTAATGAAGGAAGGAAGAAATGATAGATAGAGTGACAGAGAAGGGTTTTCTTTTGATTGTATGTTCAGTGTCTTGTAATCGAGGTATCAAATGGGTGGTAGTAATGGGGTTGTTGGTATGGGATGATGGTATGTATGGATGTAGCTTTTTCTCTTGGATGTAAGCTGGAGGTTTAGATACTAGATAGGTAGGTTGTGACCTTTGACCTTATAAGGATCCCAATGGAAGGAGCTATGATTGTAGAATAGCTAGCGCCGAGGCTCTTTCTTTTTTAGGGTCCTTTCATGCCCCGTACGCACTTTGAATCACCAGCACAACGACGGAAAAAGAAAAGTCAAAGTGTGGCGGATAAGGTGTAATAAGGTTACCGAGTAGTATTTGGAAGGTATCTACGATAGGTATCTAGGTATCAACTTCTGATAGAGCAGAGGGACCGTACAGAGTACAAAGCTCGAGATACAGCTCAGCTGGTAAGATTCAATCCAATTCGATCCAATTCAATTCAATCCAGTTCAATCTAATTCCTATGGTTCAAAGGTAGAATCAAGTAAGATCCAAGAAAATTGTCAATTTTCTCAACCCTGTATACAATACCTACCTAGGTAGGTACCTAGGTAGGTAGATAGACACAACCGTAGAATTACACCTTCTCGAGTTCTGGAGTAGAATTACGCAATACTATACCTACTGGGTAGATACTTTCTTGACAGTAGAACCTTCCTGACAGTAGATCCATAGCATGAGAGTACGGCAGTCACCCATTGAACTTTCTTCATGGATGGATATTGAGTAGAATATTCAATAGATACACACGAAAACACGGTATGTAGGCGGTAGTATCTTATTTGGGTACTCAGGCTGTAGGTGTAAGCGTGAGTGTAATAAGTGTAATAAGTGTAATAATAATAAGTATAACAAGTAATAAGTGTACCTTGTAGTTGGTCTCGAGGTGGTGTTGTGTAGCTATGAAGTAGCTAAGGGGTGCTGTTTATATTGGATCTGTAATACCATTGAGCTATGAAGCTTTAGGTATACATTCAATAGATACCTAGGTAATAACAAGTGATGCTTGAAGTAAGTATGTACACTTTTCAGCAATACTAATAAATTATTTTCTAATTCAATATCATATCTAGGTAGTTCTAGCTGAGCTTGATTGTGTTGTAATATCAATTTACAACTCCCCAAAATTGTTTATCTGTGAACGCCAAAAAAACATCCTGATGTCAGTTTAATTTTACCTCGAACTCTGAATGGTCAACACAAAAGTTGATCGAGCTTCCAGACGTCAGGTACATGAAGCAAGGCTTGGGAACGGCTTGGGGATTTTCTCGGAAAACGGTAAGATATGTGAATGGAGAATTCAACTTCTATGCCATCATTATCTACTGTCCAATGAATAAATAATGCTTCAATGAAAATTGTCATTGGGTATGCTCATTTAAACAGAATTGGAAATTAATAAGTGCATTGATTCGGGGATCGAGTGATTGTGCCAGGCATGCGTGCCCTTCACCCTCCAATAGCTTATTATCATGCCATATGCAATAAGTAATTGCTATTCACTCAAGTGACCAATACTTTTCAAGATATATATGCAGCCTATCAACTGCACCTCCCATCACATCCCGTCCTCAGTCGACCGATGAAGTATTGTTTGTTTGTCGACCATCCCTCCTTTTAGAATAGCATTATACCATTCCATGAACTGCACTGCATCTGTGCATTGATATCACCAAATACTTTGACACTTTTGCTCCCGCAGCTTGGTATTACGTGATGTCACGTCCGAGGCGTGGATTAAATCCATGGTTAAGAAGACAATGACGAAGAGAGTATCTACGATGTTATCTACGTAGGTCCTTGCGGGGAGCCTTGTTCTGTTACTTTTGCTTTGTCACGGAGTTGTTTCGTGGACGTTGCTGAGCAGGTACAATTGCACGTGTACACAGCAGGAGAAGGCCACATAGGATTGCTCCACATTCGCAACACAGTATCAGGTTTTTGTAGGGAATATTCGATCACTATGATGTGGATGAGCAGGGAAGGTTACCTGGAGATGAGTATATCACGAAGCTCGCTGTCACCGTTGTATCGATTCTGCAAATGGACATCATATCCGTCTCTGTGCAGAAGTATTATGTTCGTCATCCAGTAACAAAATACGAGATGAACCATAATCATCCTGCTTCATACCCCCACAATCGATATCATTTCTGCAGATGCAAGGTTCTGGTCAGCCTGACGGTGATTGAACAACACACCGCGCTTCTCATGCGAACTCAGCCAAAAATATGAACGTCTCGGGTCCTCTCATTCCTGACAGCCCTTTATGATTGGGCATCAAAGACATCAATTCGAGGCGTTCTCGTTGGGCCTTGAGACGCGAGCCGCCGTGATAATTTAGGACTCAGGCTCGAACTGGGAGGAATATTGTTTGTTATACAGCGCATCAAAACTGCCAGTAATTTGGATATTTGGGTCTAGACGTTTCGATTCATCCACCGATTTACGAGCAATCCAATGTTACTATAACGTTGTACAAATTCTCGTGATGCACGTAAGAATATCACAACCTTCGGGGTAACTCAGTAAGGAGAATCATTTTGACAAGTCGAGATCTTGGGCATGAATGCTTCCCCGCGGATGTCATATTTGCTTTCCCCTTATGCAAAAGAATAGCCTGGCAAGCCCTTGCCTCTTCATTGACTGCCCTATGAGCCAAAGTAGATTTTTACCCATCTTTGTTGTTGATGCAACGCCCATACTCCAATATATGTGACCAATACTGATGCTCTTACTGCTGCACGACCTGGATATTGTTCTTCTTCTGTGTAACAACACTTGTCAGCAAATGATTTCTATCAAGCCGAGGAATCAACTCTTTCGTACCTTCCATTTCTCCATTTCTGATTGTTTGCTATTGTATTGCTTAACCAAATCCTCCAAGACTTTCCGTAGACCTTCCGAATTTGTCTTCAAAGCCGGCACCACATCCTTTACAGTCCGCTCAACTAACACGCCATTTATCATCCGAAAACACTTTCGGTCACCAGGAAGAGGTTCGAGTGTTTCGAGAACAAGTCTATTTGAATAAGGACGGTGAGCATAAGCTTTCAAGCGGTGAGAATTTGAATCTCCAAGTATGTCTTGTATGTGATAGCCGGGAGATAATTGATCTCTGCAAGTCGGGGGTAAATCAAGCCTGGAACTCACTTGTGCTCCTCTGCTTCTGTCTCTACATCGCCAATTTTCGAGGCTATTTGCTGCAGACCATTTTTGTAATTTGTGTACTGGTTTTGGAGCTCTGATGAAGTGTCAGTTGATAGTTCCGATGTGTAATGAAGTATGTACCTTGCTGCTTGCGCGCCGTAATTTGTTGCGCCATATCTCAAAAATAAGACTTCGAAATGACTGAAAAGTTGTCGTTCCTCTGAATTTCGAAGACGGTTAGGAGTTTCAGTCGAAAAGTAAGTAGGTATCGGAGTATAGTATATCTAGGTATCGTATTAGAAAGACGAGCGCGGGGCACCCACTAAAATTAATACTGCCACTTTCACCGCTCAGAATTGTCCCGAATACTTTTGAACGATCTCGAGACGATCTCAAATGTCATAATTTGTTCCCCAAGACAAGTATCGATCTGGGATTCCACAATCAAGAAGAAGTTTCAAAATGCATCCCCATTTGTGGACCAAAGATAATTCTGCAGGTACTATATTCAACCTCTTATTCCCTTGCGAACTCTATACATGCATTTGGGAAAGCTCATCAGACCATTTCGACAATCTCTAATATTCAGTAGCTTGCGAAGAAGTCATGGCAGCTTTAGATGAATGCCACGCCCGAGGATTCCTGTGGAAATGTATGGGAATGTGCAACGATAAAAAGACAGCAGTAAACAAATGTCTAAGGGCGCAACGACTGGCTCGAACAGCGGCGAACCGAGAAGCGGCAAAAGTCAAGAATGAGAAAATCAAAGCGAAATGGGCAGAGATAGACGAGGCTTCATAAGGGCATAAGTCAGATTTTACAGATACGTCTTAGGGATTGGGTTATGGGGGAAGGGCGTTGGTTTACGATAGAGGGGCGTTTGGATGTCATTCAATGTTGAATCATATCGGCATTCCATTTTGGGATAAGACGTATGCCATGATGATACGAATGGATCGACTTGATAAGAGGGAGGTGTGTCGGATATGGAGTATTTGCTATACTGAGCGTCTGTACTTCGCGGATGAAACCATATCAAGAACTCAACTCAATTAAACCATTATGAAAAATCTACAGTGAAAGGCTTTGGAAATATTTTCATTATTGAAGTATAATGTCGCACCAAATTTGATCAATTTTGAAACACGCCTGGCCCAGTATACCATTTCTTACTTTCGCGCTCTGAATGCATTTCCGAAGGTGAATAGCCCGTACAAGGCGAGTAAACTTAAACCCGCTGGCAAAGGTTTTTGACTGCGAATTGCTCTTGGAATAGAAGAGCCTGCAAGAACGACAGATGCGAGAAGAGCGAGTCTGTAAAGAACAATATGAGCTTTGGAGCAAAGGTAAATGGTTAGATATGCACGGTGGACCAAAAAGACATACTCAACGCCATAAGACAGGCGGCTTTGGATACGATAACCACCCAATAGGTACAAGGATCCAACAGTGAGACCTGCGGCGACAGATGGAATACTTCCAGTCCTGACATAACCCATCGTTCCACCACCCGCAGTGAGTGCACCAAGGATATATGCTGGCAATTCGATTCCCTAGCCACCGTCAATAAACTGTACACATTCAAGGAGTAGACTCATGAACCCACCATATTTGCGATTTGTTCTTGAATTAGATTTAGATTGAGATTGAATGATGAGACGTTTCCTGTGATTCGATACTATTCGGTAGTTCAGTGATATCTTATTTAGTATTACAAAGCTAGAACAATTGAATGACGGAAGCTACCCCTCGGCTCTGCCCCCATGCAGAAACCCCTGCAAACGCTAGCAACATCCCCATAGTAATCGCATCAAGCTTCGTGGCCTTCGAGCTCTAAGCCAAAATTCACAATTCACAACCACAACCTTCACACTTTTCCAATTACACCACGAATTTCACGTTCTTTCCTTCCCACGCACACGATCTTCCAATTCCGAACAATGGCGCCAAAGAAGAACGCTGCAGCTGCGGCTGCCATCGCACCACCAACCACACAAACCACAACTACCACAACTACTATCCCGTCCTCTACACCCATTAAGATACCATCCAAATCCTCTTCGCAACATCAATCGCCTCAACAAGTAGCCGTCGGTATCTGGAAAAATTACCTCGATAAAACACCACAGAGAACAAAGTTGATCGATGTGTTCATGTCATTTTTGGTTGTAGTGGGGGTACTACAATTTGTCTACTGTATCTTGGCTGGCAACTACGTAAGTACCGTGTTGTACTTTGGATATGGATCGTAGGGAAGGAATACATAGCGATCAATGGAGAATGATGGGCGTGTGGCCAGTGGAAAGTCGTATGCTAACACAATCGTAATAGCCATTCAACGCATTTCTTTCTGGATTCTCGGCAACTGTAGGACAATTCGTTCTGACGGCTTCATTACGCATACAGACGAATGAGGAGAACAAGGCAGAATTTAACTCCGTCTCCCCAGAGAGGTATATAGTTATCATTTATTGATGATCCGGGGTACTGCTAACAATATAAACAGGGCTTTTGCAGATTACGTTTTTGGAAGTTTGATTCTACATTTCTTTTGCGTTAACTTCATCAATTAGATGTGTGAAATTCAGGGGAGCTTTAATGCAGCGTGGGAAGACAGATTTTGCAGGGACTGTAGGATTACCAAAAGCTGGGGAGGAATATATTCCCATTATTATGAATCATAAGGGTGTTTTTGTTTTTGTTTTCGTTTTTTATGTCACAACTACATATCAAATGTGGAATTACTGGCTATACATTTAGTGCTATCTCGGACAGTTAATCAACGCCACTATCATATGGATCTTTCGTCTCTGTGAATATTGGACTAGGCGCTGGGCTTGCGGCTTTGGGTGTCCCGCTCCTTGGAGGGCCTCCTGCTTTGGGAGGTGGGGGCACACCACCGCTTTTCGTGCTCGGCGCATGATCTAACTCTCTACTCTTTTTCTCTCCCTCCATGAAATAGTCGTCCATGAAGTTATTCGGATTGTGCCCATGTTTCTTCTCTTTCTTCCTTGCTGGTGTCGTAGTTACTGGGGCCGCAAGTTGCGCTGGCACCAGAAATTCACCTGGCTCTTGTGCCACTGCAGCTGGCACAAAGATTTGACCTGCATTGCTTTCGCTTCCCATCTTCTCCCGAGGTTCCTCATTTGAAAATCTCGCGCTCTCTCCCTCAAACAATGTTTCTCCTGGTCCAGCAACAGGCTCACTCAGCGGAGCTGGCAACCTATGTAACGCTCCATATCCTAAAGTACAACCTAGAGCTCCATCTCCACCCCAGTCCCTACTCGGGTGGATAGTGATTTCCCTTGTAACGTTGTATTCATTATTGTAGATGTAAAGTCGTAATGGTCGTCCGATGTGATCCTCGACTAATTCGCCCAATCCACTCTCTCCGTGTAAAACCCCCTCAGGCGTGCCGAGAATGTAATCGCTGTAAGGAAGGAGGCCCGCGAGGTCGGCTGGAGAGTTGGCAGGTACGTCTAAGATATGCCATATATTTGAAACGGTGGAGAGAGATGTCCATTGAAGGGTCAGGCCTAAGGATGGAGTATCAGAAGGAACGGGAATATGAATAGTTCGAGTACGTTGGCCCTGAATATGTTAGTTTGTCGAACGTGAACGAATCGCGAGGGAGGTTATGCCTTTGCGCTCCAGAGACCAAGAGTTACTGAACTTCCCGCACAATTGCGCACTTCTTGGGCAAACAGATTCGCATCAGAATCGTCCTAAAACTGATCAGCTATGCCAACGGCATTAGATAAGAGAACGCACGATCATTCGTCCATTAATTCCGACAATAAAATCAAACCAAGGTTCAACAGCCAGTTCTGGGGTCTTATTCCTAAGAACTTGAAATCCAAATGCGGCATGGTTGTCCCGATTCTGGTGAGCGGGAGAGTCCGAATCTAATCGGGAAATAAAGCGATTTAAAGCGTTGAACATATTGAAATGGGAAATCCTTGAAAGTGTTATTTATTGAAGCTCTGGAGACACTCAGTCAACACATTTGAGACGTGTTGTTCTCAAGGTGCAACCCTTGCTTTCACCGTCAGCCTTGCAGCTACAGTATGGCCCAAGCTTCTTTCACCTTGTTTGCAAATTGCATGTGGTATGGAAGGCTACCACCACAAATTTCAATCATTCACTTCAACCTTTTGAAGCTTCCAAGAGGAAATGGATGGTGTACTAATCCACTCGATGTATGTATTAATTATGTTTTAAACATTAATAAATCATGCGCCCTAAAGTCACTGACCTATATCTAGATAGTACCTGAGTTACTCGAGTACTTATTCTCTACTCTCTTCTTCGTTTGGTTCAGCAAGGTTGAATCTGAAGGATCTACACGTGGAAAAGAAAAGTTCTTATATGAGTGATAGAAGAATTTGATTTTAGGAAAAAGAAATACGAGATCTGCTCGTTTCTGCGGGATGCCATCGACCAAATCTTGAATCGTCTCAAAGTACTCGTTCCCCATACGTACAGACACGACAACAGAAAGAGAAAGCCCGTCGATCATTAGAAGATATATACCTTCACCAGCGCCTCTTCCATTACCTCATCCTGAGACATTATTTTGTCATTCAAATTCTGGAAGACGTCTCCAAGTGATTATCAGACAAGGGCTCGGTGTTGTCTTTAGCAGTGCAGTTCATTTTGAAACTGGTGCCAGAGAGAGACCAATACCACCTTCATTTAAAAACGCGACTAGCACGAACTCTAGTTAAAAATTCTCCGGTCTGGTAGTGCCTCCAAAGAAATCAAACAGATCTCTCGACACAGAATTCATTCAGTCAGCCCCTTGAAGTCACGAGGTTCAAATCAACAAGTAGATATTGTCAGATCACCAATTTCGAAATTTCGTCCTCGTCAGACTAGTATTGTAACTTTCACTCCTGCGTTTCAGAATCGGACCTACTCGTCTTTGCCTGACCAAAGCATAGTGCGTCATTTGCTGGCTATACTGCAAGCCATTAGACGTCAGAGCAGTAGGAAGCGAGCGAACCTTGCAATTTTGAAAGAAAGGGCCACTGAGCAGCGCAAGGACTTTAGTGAGTACGACTTTAAACTTACACACTTGACCCATGAATTCCTCTTCTGACGATAGCTTCATCAACAAAGTCCATAAAGGAATTTAATCAAAAATTTAGTTCCAGATTGGGAACCTTTAACAATGGTTGTCAATAGCAGCAAGTCGTTTGGACATGCAGCTGCGAAAGAATATGAAGAGAGCCAAGATGAAGATACCTCCGCCCAATTTGAATTAGACGAAAATTGTACCCATTACACTTCCTTGAAAGAAGTGCCCTGGGATCTACATAAGTAGGTCTGCATGCTATGATGTAATTTTTATTTAACTGACATTTTAGATACTGGCAGCAGCGTTATAGCATGTTCTCACTCTACGACAATGGTATCTATATGACAGATGATGCTTGGTTCGGCGTTACCCCTGAACCGGTAGCTACGTAAGTCTCCCTTATTACACGCGCACTTGTTTGTGTACATCACTGACTGTACGCAGTCAAATCGCTCAAGACTATGCCTCTTCTACATCGCCCACAAAAACAACTATAATTGATCTATTCGCTGGCGCTGGCGGCAACTCCATCGCGTTCGCTCTTTCCAACCGTTGGGCCCATGTCATAGCCATTGAGAAAGACCCCTCGGTTATCGCCTGCGCTGAAAACAATGCCTACGTCTATGGTGCCACAAACATAACTTGGGTTAATGGAGACTGCTTTGAGTACCTCAAGACTCACGCCTCTTCTATTAATCCTTCAGAAACTGTCATTTTCGCATCCCCACCATGGGGAGGTCCTGGCTATACTTCTGAAAATATCTTCGATCTGAGAACTATGCAACCATATTCTGTGCAGTATATTCACGAGGCATGTAAGGCAATGGATACAGCATTGTATCTTCCACGAACAAGCGACCTCAGACAAATCTCTGCACTGTTGCCCGATGGAAAGAAGGTTGAGCTTGTGCAATATTGCATGAAGGGAGCGAGTAAAGCGCTAGTGGCGTATATTCCAGCAATTCAATGATAATGATTTGATCGGTTTGATGAAGAATTCGGATATCCGGGTGGAGCTGCAAGTCGAGGTGCCTTGAAGCCTGAGGGCTGCAGCATACCTCCGGTCTATCATGTGGGGATTGGTACAAAATTTTGTTGCATATCGGAAATTCCTGAGGCAAATGGTGGGAGAAGACTTGGCCACTTGAGCAAAATTTCGAAACATGCAGATGGCATCAAGTGGCTTATGATATAAATCTATACATGTGGAAAAGAGGATATTTATCTCTAGTATTTGAAGGGCTTGGTTTAAACCAATTCAAACTACACATTATGTCACATAACTTATATATCCAGATTTACACAGTTTACATATCCACAGCCTCATCTAACTAATGTCCGGTCACTTCCTGCTGTCCTTGAACTTTGTAATCCCTGCTGTAGCCTGGTCTGCATCGCCTCTAATATCGCTTTCTCTTCGTGCTCCAATGGTAGCCAGCTAGGTATAATGATGTGATGCTTATCAATCTTGATTGTTCCTTCATCGGAAATGTGGTGAATTTCAGTTGGTTGCTCCACTGCACTAGCACTTTCTGAACTCTTCTCGATATCTTCTTCAGACCGGCTACTCAGCGAATGCGGCGTCCACCAGTAAATGGGAAAAGTCCTCTGTATGTTATTCACAACACAAGCGATAGCAACCAGAAGCATGCTCCCTAATAGGACCAAAGGTATAAGATACCATCCTATCTCCGTGATCTCAGGTGACGTAGCAGCTAACAAAGCAGTGGCTCCAGCCGGTGGATGAATCGTATTAGTCAAGCCCATCACAGCGGAAGCTACACCGACTGACAGAGCACCAGCCAACCATCGTAGATTCTCGAATTCTGCACTAAGTGCGAACAGTTTCGTTATGCCGACGCCGATGATGGAGGCGAGTAATTGACCCAAGATTGCATTTCGTGGCTGGGAAAGGGGAGATTCAATTGTGTTATATTCTAAAACTGCGGCAGCGCCCTATCGTTATCGTTAGATATAAAAAGACTCCATAGTAGCTTCTGGTAGCATACAAAACTTGCGATGACCAATGGGGTGCCACGTTCTTTGAAGTATGGAAGTCGATATATATTTTCGACAATCGCAATGCCGCAGAAAGCGCCAATGAAAGCCCAAAACCAAACAACTAGACTACCAGTGCGAGATCTCGGCTTAGTCCGATACCCAAAGAACCAGGAGATTGGCGTTGGGAGTATGTAGAGTCTAGGGGAAGGAATAATACGATTCAGATAATAATCTATATCAAAATCTAAGTTGGACATTGGTCCTAACTTTGGGCCAAGAACTTTGGTGGCTAAACAGAAAAGAACTCGGAAGAAACCTCAGGGATTTGAAAAATATGTTCTACATACAAAGGAATACAAATCATGTATATAGTAAGAAGGGAATTAAGCATAAATCAAACGCAAGAGTCATATAAAAAACATCAAACAAAGCAACAATTCACTCCCAACTATGACATAAGGGAAATCTTCCAAATCTCGACATCTCCGGTGAAGAGAAGTTACACAGACGGAATCAATGCACAAGACTATTCACAAGTGGACGAAACGCATTGAATAAGATATGAGCTAAAGGAGTACTGGAGAGTCGGAATCCGGGGTAGAAGCCAGGAAGAGAATTGACAGATATTAACAATATATCCACGATATTATGTCAGTCGAAACAACGCACGAAGCAACCTGTAGGAAGCGTGAAATCTCCGCGTCGCCATTGCACATGATGAATCTAGATGCCGAATGTGTGCGAGGAGAGTGTGTTGGTGCTTGCTGTTGCTAGTTGTTAGGTTCTGAAAGGAGACGCGATGACACATAGAAATACAAATTCACCAGTAGAGTTGCTGATCTTTCGGGATTTTTGATGCCTCAGGTCGTGTAGCTTCCGATGCTCCGACGATTGTACGGCCAAATAGTTCTAGGAAACTAATAAGATGTCTATGATTTATTAGCAGGTGGATGACTCGAGACTCGAGAGTGAGTACCTACCTATGCTTTGATGTTGGATTTAACTCGTACTTCGCTCGGCGTGTGTGTTCCCCGGTCTAATTGATCGCTCCATGCTACTGTTCGTATTGTGGTATTTTTGGAAACATCTACAGATACCTATCCTTGCAGCCGAATTCTGCTCACTGTTTTCATTTTCAGCAGTTCAATAGCACGGTACCGATCATACCTAATCATGTGAAATTGCTATATCGTATTGTGTGTGCAGTCTTGCAAGCGCCGGCCCCACTGAATACCCACCACAGGTTAATTTAACTTGTTTATGCTGTTCCTTTTGCTACAGAAGCTTGCAAGAGTAGCGCTCTATTCGCTCTTTATACATCGACCAAGTTGGGTTATCGTGAATGTACTTTGATTGTCGAGTACCGAGAACTCCCCTCGCCTTTCACAGCATTTCCTGTCTACCCTATTTCTGTAGGATTTGGAGAGGAAGTCGGTTCACAACGATTTGACGTTAGAAATGTCTGGGCAAAACTGGGCATAGCCTTCATTGTGGATTAGGCTTTTGTTTACGATATGGATTCCTTCGTTTTTTGCGTAAATACGGTCCCTTAGACAGATAAGAGTAGTCATGGTATATAAAACTCTAAGCCTCGTCTATACATAAGAGTTCAGCAACAAATTCCAGATATTTTGTCCCTTATATACGTAGCCAAGTAAGATTCAGACATTACTTCAATTCGCATACCTCCTCGTTCTACTCCCGACTTCAACTTTGACTCTCCACCTGATAAGTTAGCCATCGGCTGTATCGCGGCAACGAGCCCATTCCGTCAACTACCATTCTATCACAGTCACCTGCCATAATGCACACTCCCACGGTCGTTTCATTTCTTTGTGTCTTTATGACCGCCATCGAAGCCCTTGTAATACCCGCTGCGGATCAGATGAGAATATTTGTTGAAAACGTCGAGAATGTCGAAAATGTCGTCGCCTATATTGGCGTCAGCGGTGTCGACCTTGGCTGGTAATATAGATATCTCCCCTCTCATCACCTAACCGACTAACATCCCAAAGTGTGATATCCGATGACAACTTCCCCGTCAAGTCCGAGATCTCCAGTAATACGGGCATGGCAAATTGCTGGAACTGGAGCGAATCAGTGACAGATCTTGAAGTTACCTGGGGAGATTTTGATTGGATCAGTCTATACCGCGGCTCCGACTGTAATTCCAGCGACAGAATAACATACCTGAAGGATGATATCAACGTAGTCGATGGACAATCATGTCATTCGACAGATGTGGTGAGGGGCCGGGAATTCGTCAATTCGCTTTCTAGTGGCTCAATACTGTTCGGGAGGGGTAGTGCACCTCTTAGTGATATGCTTGTGCTTCCGAAAGCCACTCCATCTGTGGACTCTGTCACCAACAGGTTAGAGATGTTAAGGAATGGGGAACTGTAGATTTGATGGAAGATGTCTTTTTCTGTTGTTGGTTCTACGGAGTTAAACGGTTGTGATACCCGGACGAAAGGAGTTGATTCATTGAATGTTCATTAATTATGCCTATTTAAAAAGACCGCTTTCATTGCACCATTTTTCAATCATGAGATGAAGGAGAACGTGCGAAATTGTAACTATCTTGCGATAGCAGTCACTGCCATCTCCGCAACATGTGACTAAAACAGGCGAATACTTACTCCAAGGTGTAAGTCCTTGCTATATGGTAATGGGATATGAGCAATATTTGTCTGTACATATTATTTGATTTGTTGCACGAAGAACAGATAGAGGTAGGAGGCGGATGAGAAGTTGTGATCAAGTTTCACTTCATGCTCAATATCAGAGACATGCTGCCTGATCTTTTCAAATCATGGTGCAGTACCATCACTTCTACAAAGCCGACGCAGCAAGCTCCTAGTCTTGCTCCATGAATAATCGCCAGCTGTTTATGAATACATCCATCTGAATAGCATCTACATGCAATCGATCCTTTCTCTCCTTCTCTTTCCAACTCGGCATATCCGTATACGCAGTAAATCAAAAGCCATCATATTCGTTAGAATTCTCCACTTTGCCTCCTTCCTTGATACGATGAAGAACCATTCTCCAAAACGAAGGGATCTCATCGGGGTTTTACTGTCACCCTCAAAAGATCTGTCTGTCTGTATGACCATCAAACGACCCGCTGTTACACTCTATTGGCCGCCTTAATCGCCATATCTGTTTCTGGTACTTTCGTGCTTTCAGCAACTCCTCGTTCGGCTGTCTGTTCATCTATCCTGTTTCTATACGGACGATTGATAATGGTTCTATCTTTTACGGAAGCAAGTAATGTACTCCCATCTCTTTCTCTGGGGCAAATATATTCTGATAAAGTCTTGAAGATTTTGACTAAGACGAGGTACTTCGATCTGGCCATTGTTCATGAATCTTCGGATCTGTACACTCATGGCACATGTCGGATCTTGAAAGTCTGCGTAGCGAATAGATCCGGGAAAAGGGAGAGTATTACTAAATTTCTAAGTATTGGTTTCTTCTGAGATGGATGCTCTCTCCATTGGGGTGGCGTTTCGAGGACGAGATAAAGATGGAGTTAGACATAGCCCAGAATCTAGTATTTAGAGCAATGAGGCCGCTGAGATTCACAAGCTCTAAGAGGAGACACCATGTCGGCTAACGTGCATTATTTTGTAACTCACGCCTTTTTCTTTCGAGGGAAGGATAGGATAGGAAAGAAAGAGCGAGCAGTTGGAGAGGATGAGATAGACTTGTGATCCGAAATCGAATAAAGGGATCTGAAAGTGTTGATGTAGTTGATTACATCAAATCAACGGCCAGTAGTATCTCATATGGTAAGTGGAAAAGGGCTGGTCAGTAGGGGAAATAGATGATGGCTGCGGCAGAAGGAAGATGCTTAACTTATTGGTCTCAAGATCGAATGAGAAAATTCAAGGCTAGAAGTCACAATACACCTTTATAGCAACATGTCTCAAATGGACAGACTTACTGCAAGAGGGCGAACTCTATCTGGTTTGAGAAATTTGATGGGAGAAACAGCGAATACATAGATTCACGAAAGATCCAATCCGTGAATCCAACATACTTCTCGGTCATTCTCTTTGTATTATTCGAGAATTCGTGTAAAATGGTTCAGTATGGGTGAATGAATGAGTTTATACATTTTCAAAGGGCATGAATTGAAGCCAAGATCTGTTGAAATCCGTCGGACATCTCACCAGACGATATATCTACTTGTGGGCAGCTACGGCTCATGATATAATAAGGTTGAGCTTGTACTTTGGACTTTGAGGGCTCCAAATTGGGCGAGCTAAGGACTGAAAACATACATCAGATAATCTTTTGAAGATCAAAATGCGATAGTAAAGAAATGCGTTGAGGAAGGCACATTGAAGGCTCGGCCGAGGAACGAGTAGCCGAATGATTGTCACCATCCGACAAAAGGGGAAGCGACACTGGGTCGACAAATGGCGGTATCTTTTCTAAGCCAATTCACCAGCAGCATCATTATAAATCTGCTCTATCTGAAACTACTCACACGCCCCATTCGCAGAATGTGAGCGCGTCTTCGATTCCAACCTCACGCCGCCATAGAGAATTAATCTTACTCCATATGAATCCTCTCAATTTCTCCCTCTCTTTTCTGATTTGGACATATTCATTACTTCTCCATGTAAAGAAGTATACTGCAGATTTCTCTGTTCATGTAAATTCGAAATCACGGCCGTCTTTTGAATTTGATCTCAAGGTAGCGTAACTATGTAATAATAATTACAGAATTTTCCGCCAAAGAATCATTAATAAGACATAGCTATATACTATCAATGGTTTCTTTCATCAGAGGAAGACGGCGATCTAGATGGTTTCACCAAGAAAAGATATGCTACTACCTACCTGCTGTGGACGTCCAACAGGTTGCGTGAGCCTAGAATCAGAAAGATTTGATAGATGTACAGAATTAATTCACTCCATACTCTTTCCGGAACCATCTCGACTTTATCCAAAAGGGTTTCATATATATGTTACATGCAGCCAGTATTCAATGCAGTTACGACCTCCAGCCGTCCATGCAATTACAGTATACCCTACTAGCTGCCTGTATTGTACTACACAGAACGGACTGCTAGATAATTAACTAGTATGGACTCGCAAGCACCAACATCATTCCAACAAAACGATTCTACCAATTAGACCACTACCTTGATATTGTCAACCCATTGTCTGCTCAAACATAAATCAGAAACAAAAACGGGCATCGATGAAACATCTTTTACCTGCGATACCACCCAAACTTCCTTACCTATCTGCATATATCATAACCCCTCGCATAATCATCAGTCAATCAGCAAACAAGCAATAAATCTCACATGTCATCAGCCAAGAAAAATCCCGAGTAATGTAACTCTGCAATGTACCTCTCAATCATACATCGACAGTTATGTAAGGCACAGTCTTCTTCGACGTGGGTTAGATTTTAGATGGCAGAGTGCGTAGCACGTACTCCCACCAGTTCCTTTCTTTTCTTTACCCCATTCAGACACATGCGAAACAACCAATTGCAGATGAGCATGGCGTGTGAATCGCGACATACATGATTATCAAAGCGCGGAAACGGCACGGGGGTTTCCTTACTGAGCCTTTTTCACATACAAATATACGGATCTGATGGGGCAATCGCTCCATTGAGTAATGGAATCGAGGTCGGCATATATGTGCGGTCGTGATAATGGAAAAATTTGCAGTTGATCGCATTGCGCCGCTCGGTTCGTGTGCGCAAATCTTCAAACTCCCATAGTGTTATGTGGGTGCAATGCAATGAATGGCACATAGTTATAATGGTACGCCAATGAAGTAAGATATTGTCCAGCGATGAATTTTCCAGTTAACATTTCAAGACTTTTTTTTTTTCAATTGTTTTTTTGTCTTGTCTTTTGCATATTCGAACTTATCAAAAATAGCCACAAGAAAAAAGAAAAGAAGTCTGAAGTTTCAGCCCCCACCGTCACCGCACCCACAGACAAGGCAATATTCCAGAAATATCAGCTTATTATTCGCAATCCTACCCCATGGTACATCGACGAAAGAGTCTCTCTCCAAGAAAGGAAGGAGCCTTCTTGAGAAACCCGCTTCATGATGAGAAATCATCTTTATTGGGAATTCCAAATCCGTTTTCCAATCGTGATCCTCCGATATTAAAACCATGGACCGAATTAGGTGAGTTCTGCAGGAACAGGGCAACACTTCCTACACCTTCCCCCCCACCAAACTACGCCGTGAAAATTTCTTCGAGAAAGAGGCACAGGCTGATGTTGTGGCGTCGGTCTTACGACGTCTTGATAGAGATATGGCAACAGTAAGTGTTACCTCGGTCTTTTCTCCTCAATCCTCCTTTGTGGTTGGCCATTCATGAAGTCGCAAAGAGGATTCCGAAAATTCTCGCTCGCAATACGACATTGCAACGTCTTTATGTATATTATACATGTAGCGTGTAATGTATGTAATGTCAGCTGTGCATTCTCCATGCCATTGAAGGATCTGGCCTATGCTTGTTACTATACTCGTACTATGGTTTTCCTACACGAATTCCTCGAAGGATTCGACGCTGTTTTCTCTCGTTTGATAAGTTTGGTTTTTAAGCATGAGTGCGACGTTGCGCTTGTGTAATTGATGACATGGAGGGGTACTTTTAGTCGTGGAGGGGTTATATAATCACTTGACTTTGAATTGAAGGGGAATGAGTGGAGGGGGGAAAATCAGCTGACTGAGATGAGATGCTAATTGTTTGTGTGAAGGGAGGATAATCATTTCATCGAGACGGGATATCGGTATGCAGTCTATATTTCCTTCTTCTTGCTTACCTTGCATTGCCTTGACGTTGCATTCATCTCAACTTATTTAGCTCTCTGAGTAAGGCGTGGGGGAAGGGTGCCACGTGGGTGCTTCAAGCTAGAGGAATTTGTAAAGAACTATTTCTAATGTTCGACTTTTTTGATGATAGAGCGGCATCTAACTCTCTTCGAGAATGTTTTGCAAGTTGGGGATATCTCCACAATGAGACTAGTAAGAATAGACTGACTCCAATGTTACAATATCCTCACCGTGTATGGATGATGTATAATGTTCGAGATACTGAAGCTAAACAAGCACGTAGTTAATATTTGGTCTCATTTAATTGGGGCAGCGTTGTTCGTGGCTCTACCGGTCTACCTGTACAAGGCTGAGATACCACCTAGATATGCCGTGGCTACCAAGGAAGATATCGTGGTTTGTGGGATATACTTCTTGGGAGTGGCGATATGCTTTTGCTTGTCGGCGTTGTTAGTTGATAATCTCTGTCCTCTAAGCAGCAGGAGGCTTTGTAACTGATGTCATCCGTAGGTATCATACCGTAATGAACCATAGCCAACAAATGGACACATTTGGAGCTCAGCTGGATTTCCAAGGAGTTATTCTTCTGATGTGGGGAGCAACTATTCCTCTTGTATACTATGGTTTTTATTGCGATACTGCAATTCATAGATACTCTTATTGGGCTCTGGTGATTAGCCTTCCTGTCTGTTGCAGTGGAGAAAGCTAACTCGAGGAAGTTATCACTCCTAGCAGTCGCTTGCTCAGGATCTACTTTTCAACCTCATTTTCGAGATCCATTTCTTCGACCTGTACGAGCCGCCACCTTTGGCAGCTTAGCCGTGGTCACAATGGTGCCTGTCGTCCATGGTGCGACTGTATACGGCTGGCAAGTACAAAATCAACGGATGGGAATCACCTGGGTTTTGATCACGCTGATGTTGAATGTACTCGGTGCAACAGCATATGCCATCAAGGTAAGAAAGTGAATAAATTCTTTGAAGGAATTAGTGTTCCCTGCAAAATAAGTTCTGACCGAAACAGTTCCCCGAACGTTGGTTCAATAAAACGTTCGATCTTTTTGGAGCTTCTCACCAACTCTTCCACATGATGGTGGTACTTGCAGCTCTCGTGTACAGCAAAGCCATTTTACAAGCATTCGACTTTGCCCATGCATACGACCACACATGCAACCGATGAATGTACATACATACCGCTTTCTTCGGATACCGCCAGAACCAATCTCGCCATGGCATGTTCATCTTTCTTCACCGTCCATAAAGCTTTCAAGGATTGTATGCCGGGCCAGACTTCCACCCACAATCTCTTACATACTTCAAGAAGTCTCGTGATTTCGACGGCCCATGGCAATCTAACGGCATATCCGGACATGGAGATAAACATCATAGCGTACGTCGCAAACGAGCCTGAAGATTATTGAAAAGGCGAAATAATAGGTATTGGCACCTTTCAATCATCGGTTTCAATTCGAAGAAGAAGAAAGCGAGACACGTGTACAAAAAAGGCTCACCTACTTTCATATCAACACCCAGGCTTGTGGAGAATGACAAGTATTGTATATAATATAGAGTGCATAATTACTATCCATAATACATTGCTAGCAAATCTATCGTAGACCGCATAAACTTTTCCATCCGTCAAACGGGGGATAGCTTCTTCATGCACATGCTCCAACCTTGGTGTACCAGAGTTTGATCTTCAAGACGGCATAAACTTCCGCAGCAAATCATAACAGCGGATATGATATTACTATTTCCCCACCTGCTTTGTCTGCGGCATCAACCGCGAATCGTCCGGTTCATGCGATGCTTTGACAGCTCTGGCAATAATATAGAAAATAAAAAACTGAATATGGAAGATTGGAAATGATGATGGATATGGGAAAAGGACAAGGTCATGGATGCCGTAATTGAAATTGTTCTGTAGCTTCATGAAACGTTCTCGAAGGCCCGTCAACAAGGTTGGCGGATATCTAATCCCTCAAGAGACAAGAGGATGTTATTCCTCGGAGAACATGCTACATTTTCGGGCGGAATGTCCGTGGTTGCATACAAAAGTGGAACGAGCCTTTTTCCCACTGTGTATATCTGAGCTTTCTGAAGGTTTGTTGTGTATGGATGGGTGGCATTAGGTGGATGCTATGCCACTGGATGGTTATCTCTCTTACGAACATCCGACGTTTGGTTCTGCTTCAGAGACAAGAGGGAGATCAATCATCTTCCTGGAAGCAGTTGCAGGGTATGATATGGAACCCTCAATTGAGGGCAAGGGTATCTGATTTGGCAGCGGACGGGCCCCCATTTATTTTAAATACCGGAAGGTCAGTAGTGTACCAGAACTTCGACACAAATGGATATGGTTTGTGAAGTATTGGGATGAAACTTATCTCGCTATCATCGCTCAAAGTATCACTAGAACGTCTGCACCCCTCACAATCGATTTTCCAAAACCTTCTTTTCAAGGGCTTACGGCATCGCCTACGGGTCCAAGTGACTAATTGGTAGGAACTGCCGACACTGGTATCTCAATGTAGTACAGACTCATTTCGGCCTTAGATCGACGACTCGAACTGCTGTTGCGGAGTGATCCTCGAGTAATTTGTTCTTGAATAGCTTCGTGATTGATACTTGTAAACCCACCTACCTATTTGAATGAAAGTTTGTTATATGCCAGTAGATCAAACTAATGAGACATGTACTGCGTATATCCCTTCACGAAGGGTCCTCTTGTATTGGACCCTTCTTTTGGTCTCACTATTAAAATAGGCTATACACTAAGAGAGTTGTTATCGATAGTTTAAGCTTTTTGCCGCCGCTCAGGCTGTAGAATAGAATACAGTAAGACATATCAGTGGCAAACACATTGGAAGATGTCGAGGATGCGTGGATGCTATTGTCATGGAATGGAAGAGTTTGTGTCAGCAAATTGACTTTCTCCAACATGTTTGAAACCCGTTCTTCCTTCTATCCGAGCAGCGCCGCTCGCCTGCAGTCAAAAGTTCGGGCTTAACGGTGAGCCTCGATGCATAATCTATAACCCTCGAGGGTAGAGACGAAAAATCCGGGGTTTTCGAGCCAGTTCCAGTCCTCCCTCGGCCATTCTTTCCACCCATGATCAGAATAATAGTGCCGTATCGGTGTACTCGAGGATTCTCTGAACGATGGAAGATCTCGAGGACCACAGTGCCCTCGGAATGCAACTCTAACCTGTAAACAAGAGTTTGCGAAGCTTCGAATCATTCGTGATCGAGAAAGTATATCGTAAACTATAATACAATACACTAGAAGCATATACATGAAGCTTAAGGGTAACTTGATTGTCAAATCTAACTTTCAATATTGAGTCGTGCTATGAGATCAGACTTAGGTAAATGTGCGTACATTTCGCATTTCGATTCACTTCATCACGCGTTACTCAGACCCAGAATAGTAAGTAATATTTTCAGACCTGCATAGATCTACAAGAAGATGTCATAGGGTACTATTGTACCTTCCATCACGTTTGGGTACCTAGATCATCAAGACTAAGATCAAGCAGAATGTTAGTGAGGAAGAAGGGTCCGCAGTTCTGTAGAAAATCGCGCTATAGCGGTAGTTTGTAGATAGTTAGTCTATTGACCGATTTTGCCTGGTTCCTATAATTCCATTTTGATGACAAAAACTCGCGCCAGCAAGCCCAATCTTTGGTAAAGTAGAGTCGTAGCAATATTCATTTCCAGGTCCCATCCCGCTGGGACATCTGACAACCGTCTTTCTTTGCATGGAGCCATTGGTTGATATGTAACCTGACTCGAATAGCAAGGAAGGACACTCCACATAAATCGATGGTATTGTGATCTTTGACCTACCTTCTTCCAATAGTGAAGCTTGTCAAGGTCAAGATTGAATGGACGAGGGCATTAGGAATACCAAACCCGCGAGCCGTGAGTGGGTCATTGTAGATTCGAGATTGAAAATCATTTGAATTGAACCCAAAATATGGCCAGCCCGATAGCCTCGCCAGCGAGCGGCCAAGCTAGGGTTTGGGGCTCTAGGAATGAATCCCCGCTGACTAGCCCGTCTGGCATGATAAAGTAGTGTAGTACATACGCTCCATATCATTGGCATTACCCACGGGAACAAGCGAAGGAACTTTCAGATGACACCGGTAAATAAAAATCATAAATGGGATGGACAGAAAAATCGGGACAAAACTTAGATTCTTATGAAGTAAGGACTCGGACTCGGAAGTGGACTGGGGACTGGAACTGGGACTGGGACTGGGACTGGGACTGGGAATTGGTTTTGGACTGGAACTTATGATTGTTCAAGATTGACAGGTTTATGTTGTTCCTGCTTTTTCGATGCAAGAATAAGTAAGTAGAGTCAATCAGCAAGTATGTATTCATACATGCATATGCAGCATTTGTTGAGGTCAAGGTCTCTGCAACCAACCTTCTTTTGCTTCCATCTTTCATCATATTGTCAAGCATTCTCTCTGTTCCTGCTTTGTTCCTGCATCGGTTCCTGCAGTAGCAATCAGCAAATTTGGAAATGGGGTAGGTGGACCACACGTAACGAAGTCATTCATTGCCCGATTGGTGAATGATAATTTAAATGGGTAAAGTGATGGATATATACGGAGTCCATAGAGAAGGTACCATTTTGACCGACCGATAAGAAAACGGATTGGATTGCAACGGAAAGCCGTCAGAATGGATCATCCACTGAGAATCCCTACCTTCTCTTTTCCCCTTCCCTTTTCTAACTTTCCTTTCACCGCGACCATGACCGTGAACTTGCCGGGTCGAGGACTAGGACAGGGCTCCCTAGTAAAGTTCATATCGCAACTTCTTCTGGAACTTCACCGAAGAAGGTTTGGTCTGGCTTTACGATGCAGAGAAATGATTCTATGGATTCGATTCTACGGATTCAACCTAGGTACGGTATGGTACGGTCTGGTATGGGTATGGGTATTGGTAAGGTACGGATGGTATGATGGTATGATGGTATGGCTCTGTGGTATGAAATCCATGTTAGCCAATTCATTACGGATTCGATTCGGTACAAAGTAATAATGAAATGCTACCCCATTATGCAGGCCTCGGTCAAATCAGTCGACTCCACCACATTCAAGTTATACTTTGTTGCACCAGCCTCTTTACCCTGGCTATGCCTGACGGTTGATTATATTTGACAAAAAGCAGCAAGGGAATCCAAGCCAAACAAGAAAATCACCCTCTCTCCGCTCCCCCGGAAGCGTCCAATGATATGAAAGAGGTTCTCTCTATGTTTAGATCGGCTACACACAAACTTGCATTAGAATATCACTGCAGAGTGCCACTTTTATGCAACATGCAATATGCCAGTAGGATGTAGTGATGTGATGATGATTGTCGCGCAACCACCACTAATGAAATCCTATGCACCTTCTGCACATCGTTATTCGCTCTCTTTGGGAAATGTCATTCAGGAACCAAAAGAAGCAGCCAGCGCAAGACCTAAATGTTTGGTTCGTGTAATGAACTAGAAGCATCAGCGTCCATACCACACCAGCTGGATGTTACCATATTGGGTGTGATAGGGTAGGCATCCCACCAAGTATGCCTCAGCATTCCACATTGAAGCCTCGAACATCGTGTGTCGCTTTATTGTGATAATGAGAATCATCATCGACAGGCTGTGGGAATTGGGCGAAACGCTGTGCATTATTGGAAAAGTGTGTGCATTCCATTTTATGCAACCCTCTTAGTTCTTTCTCGGCGCTAGGTGGATGGGACTTTATCCTATCGTAATGGTTATCACCTTATCGATTAGACGTAGAAGAGTGGGCGTGAAGGAGCTCCAGGTCATATGGGGTCAGATTTTACACATGAAGAATCTCCAAACGATGATGTTTGCCATGTTCGGAGGGATTTAGAGAGATTTAGACTCTTAGTGGCCAAGAGGGCGTGTGTAGAATCAAGGTTCAACCCGATGGAAACGATAGCCCAATACGCGGCCTAATCGTTCGGGTGATAGTACATGATAAACTTTAGATCATCTCAAACGCCGGCGTCTAAGGAATAAGGGCTCCGTCTCAACCATATATTTGACTTTTCTCAGGCGTGTTCACATGAAAGACAGTGTCTCAATTGCCAGCCAGTGAGCCAGTTCCAGACTGCGGCTATAAACTTTCTTTTGGGTGGGATGTTGGTGGCA